AGGCTGCTCATGCATCATAGGAGATCCTGTCATCTCTGGGTTTGCGGTTTAATTTGCAGGGATTTAGATTTTTATCTTTAGCTGCATATTATTCCATAGTGCATAAGTACATTAGTGAAGTGTCTTAATGTATGCTAATAAATCATTCTTAGGAGAACATAAAACTATTTGCTAAGGTCCTTTTAAGCTGTCTAACCTTCTATTTTGTTGGTCGATTTATTAAACCTTCTGTTCAGCAGCAGGAATTAAAATCCTGTTGAATTCTTTATCAAAATGGTAAATGGCCTTCTTATATAGCGCTTTGGTCAAGTCAGAGGACTTGGCAAAAGCGCTCTACACTACATTCAGTCATTCACACACACACACTGATGGTGGCAAGCTACATTGTAGCCAAAGCTGCCATGGATCTCACTGACAGAAACGAGGCTGTCTGGTCCTCTGACAACCGGGTCCTGACCACCTTCAGAAGGCAATGCTTGTGAAGTGTCTTGCTCAAGGACATGACGGCACTAAAAGCCACTGCTGCCCAATGACAGTGCTATTCATTAAAAACTAAAAGGGTTTAGAGGAGTACTGCAGATTGTAGTGGTTTCTGGTGCTTTTTTTTTCATCCAAAAAGTGCTTGCAGGTACCAAAAACCATAAACGTCCAAGCATATGTCTTTTTGTGCAAAGGTGGTATATTTTTTAGTTTGATATTGCTGTATCAGAATTGAGACTGTATTAAACGGTATGACTAGTCCAGCTGTCCCTTGTCAGTTTTAAAGCTTTGTTCAAGTTACCGCTAATCCTCATCACTCCAGGAAAGAAGTGTGATCTCATGTTCGGTGTCACAGTAATATAACAACCAAGAGTTAATCATATCAACGCTGTTTTGCGCAACCTGTCATCTACCTGAACTATTTATATTGAAGATCGTAAAATGAAGGATTCTGGAAGAAAAGGAGAAAGGAGTTACTCTTCTTCGAATTTTTTTTTTAAATATAGCGCAAGCAGAACCAATGTCGCTGTTACAATCAGACAGAGTGGGGCGTCTGAGAGAATAGAAATCTAAGAAAATAAAATGGTCTTCCAGAGGTACTGCTATGGGAAAGAAAATAGTTGTAGATTTCATTAAAGCACTACTCCCATTTGTGGTTTTGTCTGTCAAGGAACAATAGTTAAACAGAAAATATGTGGTTCTACTGTACTGGATTAATAAAATAAAATACAAAAAGTCCACAGTAGAGAAGCCTAATACAGGGTTGATTGTTTTCCATTCTACTTTTTGACTGTATGGAAACTGCAAGAAAACTTGTATTCTTCACATTAAATGCTATTTTGGAATATCTAGACCTTAAGATATTCTCAGAGATAACTAAGACTTCTGTTCTTGATTTAACAGGCAAACTTACTGGAAATGGTCTCACAGGTAAAACGTAGACTAGTATGCAACAGGGTAGATCTCTTTAAATTGCTTCTATCAAAACCTTTCAGACATGACAATAGCCACATGAGCCTGTGGATATGTTCTCAAGCAAAAAAAAACTCCTTTAAGTTATTTCTGAAGATCCAACGGTGAGAGGTTTGAATAAAAAACTTTAAATATAGTCTCCCTATATTTTTGGATAAATGCTGCAAAGTAAGAACTATTTGTGTAATTCAGGTCTAGACTACTTAATTATGAGTGAGCTGAGGACAAAGGCTTAGTAGAAGTTGCCATAGTCATCATTTGTCATCACGCTTTCATTAAATATGGGAGTCACCTTTCTCTCTCTCTCTCTCTCTCTCTCTCTCTCTCTCTCTAAGTCTCCACTCTCTTACACATATGCACACAGACACAATCTCTCCCTCTTTGTGTGTGACTCTCTCTCCCTCTCTTTCTCTGGTTTTTACTGGGGAGTGGTTTAGCCTGGCTCCTTTCTGCAGACTGAATAGCTGCTGGAAATGGGTTTTTGCATAGAGACGATATGAATAGAACTCAAATATGGATAATTACGTAGATGTTCTGTCACTTAAAGTGAAAAGCTAGAAAAGGACAAAATGAGTGGTCGTGTTTTGAAAGTGTCTCTGCTGCGGTCAGGGACAGGTCCAAGGCGGACTTTACATTTTACACCAAGGTAACTGGCTGACTCTGCATGTTTTTATTTTTTTTTTATTTACTTATTTTTAATGCAGGAGAGTTTAATGTTTTCTGTCAGCATCTGGCAACTGGTTTATTGTTACACATTGTCCATTTAGGTTAACCAGATTATGGAATAAGAATTATAAATGAGGAAAATAATTACATCTTTGGCATGTTTAAAAAAAATGTATTGTGGACAACAAATATCCTCACAATGTAATGTAATGGGAAGCTGATGGGGAAAGTTAAACCATAAAAGAAAACCTGAAAGAAAACTAGAGGAGCTTATGCAAACTATTCATTTAGGGTCTTATTAAAATGAGTTATTGCATATTTTGTATTGTTTCTTTCAATACTGTTTTGTTCATTTCTAAAATGCTTGAAAAACAGCTTCAAAATTACTTCTGTACAGTACAAAATCTGAAAGTTATGGAAATATACACACACTTCCAGCTCTCTAGGATTTTTGTCTTTGTAGTGAATTAGGTCTTAGACTAACATATTAAAAGGATTCTGGCCGTATGCCACAGAAAGCAGAAAATGTTAATTGCCACATGAAGCATGTACTTGGTTGTTTTACTCCCACGCTCCCCCTCGCTGGGTTTTACCTCACAGTGCAGAAAACTTAGCTTGTAATATCAACAACCCGCAGACCTTCCTCTAAGACCTGACATCTCTCTGGGGTTATTCATGGCCCCTGTGTGTCGCTCCTCACAGAGGAGGTATTGTCTGAGAGACCACAAAAATTTGTACAGAGTGGGAATCGTTAAACTAATCTTAGAGTCGATAGTATAAGACATCTTCCTGATAATTTTAGGTTAAACCTTAATCCTTTCTGTTTTAAATTGAGACTTGGAAATTATTCGCCTAGAGCCACAAATTAGCTCCTAAAACCATCACTTATTTAACTGGCCTAAATAAGTACCTTGAAGCAGTGAAATCTACCGCTCCTTTTGAGTTTTACAAGTTCAATCATGCCTCCCCTTTCCTGCCATGTGATTATATCAAATTCTGAACATGCACGAGTCATTTCTGTCTCCCTGTGTTTTTCTGTGCTGTGCCATGTTCCACAACGTTGCTAATTGCAGACTTCAGTCCCGCAAAGACCATTTTCAGCTCACCAGAGAAACCAACGAAAAGGGAAAGAACTGATTCAACCCCAGCAGTGACTCAGCTTTTTAAATGATTAGATTCATTTACATTTTCCACTGTGCCAGTACAAATTCCGTAATGACCTGTGGTTACCAGTGGTAATGATGGAGATCATGATTATACAGAATCTGAGCTGGACTTAGTTTCATACTCTCATTAAATATCACTTTGATTTTTGTCACTCAGATGGAATTAGAATTAGTACTGCTAGTAATTAGTGCTGTCTGAAAACACTTGTATCCAAATAGTGCTCAGAGTTTTAAAAAAAACAGCCTCCTATTAGACTTACCAGTTCCACCCTCTAAAAGACTTTGGTTGACTGAATGTTTCCACATTTTGTTGAACGATGCAAGATTACTGGCTTCTTAATGCGTTTTACAGGCAACAACTAAAAACCTCTAAAACCTCTGATTTGGGCTGTTAGAAAACAGACGGACGAGTCAAAGTAGATGTTACAGGTCTCCTTTGATTGCACAGGCTGAAGTGTTTTTCAGGCTTCAGTCAATGGCTGGGGCAAACTTGTTGAAAATATGATATCATACATGTCAGACTGTTCACTTCAAATTAATTATCTTCAAATTCAAAAATATTTTTTCAATCCCAGAGGGAAATTAAATGTTACAGTAACTCATAGGTTTTTTAAACCAGATGTTGACAGCTGTAGGCATGAAGGATCTTCTGTAGCGGTCTGTCTTGCACAAGTCCTGGAGAAGCCTCTTTATCAAGACCCTCTGTTGTTTAACAACGTTTTGAAGAGGATATTCGCTGTTGTCGATAACATTTTTTATTTATTTATTATGAATTCTTATTTGTGAAATCCTCTCCAGAGATTCTACGGGTGTTCTTTATTAGCCTGTAGAGCTTTTTTATGTAATTTGCTCTGATGTGTTACCCTAGCATGAGATTGCACTGTGAGTGGACAAAGACTTTTTAAACATACAATGAACCATTGCTCACTTTAAATCAGAGTAAGCTATTTGGACCGAAGAACATGCTTGTGCTCCAAAACTGTGATGATCCCCTGCAACTAAAGACCCTAACACCTATATGTTCCCTTATCTAACAATTTTATAAACTCCTCCCCTGATTCCTGAGATTTATGGTGCTTTAGATATTCTGTACCTTTGAACACTGAAATTGTGAGTCCGAGTGATACAGTCTCCAAGGTGATTCTGCTCCACTTTTCCACTTGTGAGTGCTCATATGTTTGTATATGGTCAACATGGCTGCTCTTATAACCAAAGCAGCCAAATTCATAAGTGATCAGCTAATTTAGGTTGTAAATGAAAGCAATCCATCAGCAAGCAAATCATATCACACGTTAAAGAGTAAACTTCAAAACATTTTTAATGGTTGCCTAACCCTAAAAACATGAGATATTTTTAGTGCAAACGTTGAAAGCTAAACAAACAGTCAGTCGCACACAGCTTTTGGTTTGACACTCTAATTTTTATAGTCAGTAGTCAATCTTGAGGTTTTTTTTATCTTTTCCTGCACTGCGATGCGCTGTAAAAAACAACAAAAGAAAAAAAAAACATAATAAAAAACATGGGTTGACATTCTCTGCACTATCTCTGTGAACTTCATTTATTTCTCCCCTCAGGCTGCTCCCCACATAGTGATATCATTCCCTTTTTAAAATAATTCAGTAGCTTAATCCTGACTGATTAGTTTTGATTTTTCTTTTTTTTTACTTAAAAGGCAGAGAATGCACTTTTCTTAGTGACTCTCTTGTTTTGTTTCAGCTGGGATGAGAGCAGCTCCATCAGCAGCGGACTCAGCGACGGTGACGGTGATGGCTCAGAAAACCTCAGCTCAGAGGAATTCAATGCCAGCTCATCTCTGACATCCCTGCCGAGCACGCCTTTGGGATCAAGACGGAGCTCTTCGGTTATGGTTAGCTTTAAAAATGCATCTTCACCTCATTCCATTGTGGAATACAGGCCATACCCTCCTGGCTCACTCTTGCTCTCCAACTCTCATGCTAAACCCGCTATTTACCAAGTCCACCTATTTTAATGCTAACCAAACCAAATAATTTATCTACCGTATACCTTATGAGTCTGTTTGTCTATTAAAGTTAGCACCAAAGCTCAAAAACTGGACAGATAATCACCCGCATTTTGCTTATTTTTTGGCTTAAATCTTAGAAATGTAACGCGAGGATGAGCCATTGTGGAGCCACTAGGATCTGGCAATTCCTGAGCTCCATCACACAGGACTTAATACCTGATATTCCTATTTTGGAGCTAGAAGATTCTAAATATATACAAAAACCTAAATATTTGTTCCATACATCAACAGGTCAATGCACACATGCAAACAAAAAAAAAAAAAAAAAATGCACAGCACAATCCACACATGCACAGGAAAAGATCTACACATGCACATAATGATTTAAACACTACATAAAATGTACACATTCAGAAGACAAACTTCAATTTATTTGTGATGCATACACAATTATATCTTGCTTTATAAACTACCAATGCTCTTTGCACTAACTGCATTTGCGTGTGGATTTTTGAGACTCTGCTGATGTAGTTCGATTGCATTTTTAACCCCCTATGATTGTAATAAATTAGATAACTTAATTTTATCAGCCAATCACAAGGATCTATACCAAATGGGCAATGACTTTTTATAAACCAATCACTGAAAGAGTAGGAACGTGCTACATCTCCCTTCAGCTCGTTTTGCTTCAGAGTGGGGTCTGCAAACTCTTGCTCTAAAACAAGAGGGGTTTAGAGGAGGATAGCAGTGAATCTGAGCAAGATGCCCGACAGATGTCATCAGAGCTGGGCAGAGGTAGTGGGTCTTGCTCTGGAGGCTAACCGGGGAGTTAGAACGCCAGGCAGAGTGCAGAGCAAGGTAGAGGCCAACTCTGGGCCTCAACGACTCCCCCATTACAAAGGGGTGGACCTGTTTTTTGGTTCAATTTGCATGTTTTCTAAGTCATAACATAGCTTTGTTGGGCTACTCTATAAAACCTGGAACTCAACGCTATTCCAGAAATTTTGAATTGAGAAAGCTTTCTGGATGGGAAGGAAAATGTCTTCAAACTTGGAAGACAAAGTCTAGTGGTTTGTTTTGAACTTTTTCTTTGAACTTTTAACTTGAAAACAATGAATGCACTTTTTCAGTAAATTTTATACTTTTGTTCTACACCATTTGAAATCGTACATGCATGTACCAGTTTTGAATTGTTTGATTTAAAATAAACAAAAAAAAAAAATAGGAAAAACTGCTAATCTTTTTTTAGTGTGTTATAGTATCATTTCGAAGCCAAAATATGGCCCAAGTTGCATTTCTTAAATGAAAAAAATGAAATGGTATGACTTTATAGCCATGAATAAATCCTAAAGACATTTGCAAAAATGCTGGGCAGATAATTGTAGACCTCAGACACGCTGGTTCTTCTTCAGCACATTTTCCAGATGTCTGAAAGGGTCACATTGGTCTGTTTAAACAATTATATGCAAGTATTCAAGATGTTGGGATGTCAAGCCATCATTTAATTCAGGAAGGAGAGTTTTTTTTTTGTGTTGAAAAGATAAATTATCTTTTGGTGTGTAATGCAAACATCAATCCCTTAACAAAAGCAAAAGTATGGAAATATGCTAGCTAAAGCTTTAAAAATAAAAAAAGCACTGTACTGACATGGGCTAAAAATTCCATCTAATGAAAAAAAGGTCATTATTACACAAATAATTTTTCTGTAATGATTAGTGTTACATTTGGAAAAAAAAAGGGGGAAGCTTGCAATATGAGAAAAAAATTTCAGCTGTGGGTTGCAGCATGTTATGTGTATATTCCAGGTGGAAATTATGCATTTTAAAAAAAATCAGCACTAACAGTACAAATGAACATTATGAGAAAAATAAGCATTAGAAAGCAAGATCTCAAGACATCCAGACAGCCAGAAATGACTAAATAAGAACCATAATCTTTTGGAGTGCCTGTTAAGTAGGATTTTATTTGTGTCCTGCTGAAAAAAAGATGTGCATTTTTATAGTGTATAGAAATGTCTTGTTTCGGTTGCATGTGTAAGAGAATACTGTATTAACAGTTTTATTTTCGATTTGTGTTATTGTAGCTTCCACCCTTCTGTAGATAAACATTAGACTCACTTTTTCTAACGAGACAATGCTTGGTTGGAGAACATGGGCATTACTTCCACTCTGAGCCATCTGCCACTTTATATCACTTTAATAACATGCCAGAAAACCGCATGCCTGATTTTGTCCTTAGTGCCACCTCCATTTGCACCATATGATATCTATTAAACAGCAACTGACTTTTTTTTTCTTTTCTAAAAATAGCACATAAACATTTTCCATCTCAACATTATATAATTTTTTCTTCATTTGTCTAAATCAGTGGACTTTAGTTAATTTGCACTGTTCTTCTGTAAACCAGCATGGATACAAAACAGATTTCAGAAACCAGCTTATTTTAGGGACGACATTCACTGCATTTGATTGTTACAAAAGTTGGAAATCCCTGGTTTTATTAAAATAAAATATGGTATCAATCTGTTTTGAAGATGTTCCCATGTTTCCCAATATCACAGAATCTGTCTTGATTGGATTTTAATTCATTTTAACTTATGTCTGCAAATTTCACATCGTGACACTAGAGAAAATGAGGTTTCTAAAAGATGATTATGTGGATAAAATATTTAAATTTTGCCTTTCTATATTTTTATTTGTAATCATCTAATCTATATATCAATAAAGGTATTGTTATATCTCTAACTCTTACTTGAACTATAAATCCCTCTTTCATTTCTTCAGCTCCGCACTGATGCAGAGAAGAGATCTCTGGTGGAAAGTGGCCTCTCTTGGTACAGCGAGGATGGCAAAGCCAGTCACAGGCTTGACAGATGCAGCTTCAACTCAGGAAGCCTCAAAACTGAAGCCCCAAGCAAGTGGAGAAAGAAGCCTCCAAGCCTCAGCGAAGATTTTGGGGTTAAAGGAGATCTGAAGAAGCCTCAGAGTTTGGGTCAACCAGGGAGCTTTAAGAAGGGCAGAAATCCTCCGGTGGGCGTGACCTCCCCCATCACCCATACTTCTCAGAGTATGCTCAAAGTTGCAGGTGAGATTCTATTTTTCTTATCTGGATTTTTCCACGTCTCCTGGTTATCTGTTCTTTGGAATTCTACTCTTTTATTAACATTTAAATAAACTTTCCAGGTCATAAATTATCTGCCCTCTTTTTAAAAGGGAAAATGAAACAGTCTGTGAAGAATGAAGGGTTGTTTTTGCTATCTTAAGTCCTGCTCTGATTTATACCACACACTTCATGAAAAAAGAAAAAAAAATACAATCTCATTGTAAAGTTATGCAGACATGTTTCTATTGTCTACAGAGTGATTGCTTGAATTAAATTCCCTAAGTATCCTTCAAACCATGACAAAGCATACCATGTTGGTACGAAAAGCCTTTCTTTTTATCACCACAATTTATTATTTTCATTCTATTTCACTATACCTAATTCCAAGTGAGGGGGCTGTGATCCGGTTCAATCAACCAGTCTGGGGCTGCGGTTAGAAGAATTAAACTAAACAATACATTTTTATTTTTAAGTGCTTATGATGTGAAAGCATTACTTAAAAATTAACAAAACCAACTACTTTGGCTGTTAGTGCTGTTTTTATTATTAATACTAATTGTTTTTTGTAAACAATATATGTAAATTTAATCTGTAGCATTTTGTGGGTCAGGATTTATATTATATTTAATGGTAGTTTTGTTAACACTTCAGTAGGAAAACATTGCCAACATATGTGTCTTAAATATTCTTATTTTCAAAACTCATACAGCAAGCGGGAAAAAGTTTAACAGCTGAAACCCTGAACCTACTTCAAGATTTGAAAAAGGGAATTGGGAAATCTAAGTTATTAGTTGGGATTCTTGAGAACTAATGTAGTTTCTACAACAAACAAACTGGTTCAACCTCGAGTAATGTATTTAAAGTGTAACTGAATCCGAAAGGAAAACATAACTCTGCCCACAGGCAAATGTTTAAAACATCCACCAGAGTCTGCTGTGCCAAGAGACTTAATGGGCATGGCCAAGTGTGGGGATAAGTTGGAGGTGTTAGCAATTTTTTTATTTTCTTTCCATCCATCCATCCATCCATCTTTCCCCACTTCCTCCTTTAGAGTCACAATGCCTATCTAGACAGTCTATGGTTAAGAGGCAAAATACATCTCGGTCATACCTGAGGCATTAGGTCATACCTAATGCTGGAGGAGGCTAAATTTGTCTTCAGTAAAAAAAATTGGAAAGCTTTTTATCAAACAGGTTTTACCAATATAATAAATTTGAAATTGAGATTAAACTGAATTAAGAAGAGATTTAGTTCAGAGATTCCCTTTTTCGATAATTGAAGTACCTACTTTTATGGCAAACTGAAGCTTTTAGGCTTTTGCTGACATGAATTGACCTGCAAGTTTTATCCCCTATGTAAGGACAAAGTTATCTACTTATTTACCTGTTTAACATTGCAGGGTGCCAAACAGATGGCATATAACAATGTGTTATATTTTGATGATTACTGGTGCTTTAGTTGTGCATTTTTCTACGCTGCCACTTTCGTTATATTCTTCTTTGAACAAAGCCTTTTAAATTCAGATTATTTCCTTGAAGTCTGAAAGGGCAGATTTGTCTAATTTGGCAAAGGCATGGCTCAGAGCAGGCAAGGACCATGCTAGAAACTAAGTTACATGACTAAAATAATGTGGTATATTTTTTCTTCTCTTTTGTAGCACCTAAAAGTGAGAAGCCTCTGGACAAATCCAAAATGTCCATCAAAACTGCTGGTCTACAACGGTCCCGTTCAGATGCTGGCAGGGATATTCATGGAGAGCACCGCAAGCCTCCGTCAGGTTTGGTCAAACCATCTGCTGGAGGCTCCTTTGGCTACAAGAAACCATCAGCAGCCACCGGTACTGCAACTGTAATGACAGCAGGGGGCACCCATATCCCAGGGGGCTCTGCAACCGTGGGGAAAACACCCAAGTCATCTGGCATCCCTGTTAAACCTGTAGGTGGAGGAACAGGATTAGGTAGAAAAAACAGTTTTGATGCCAGCAGTGAGCATGGCTTCCTGGGGCCAAATGCCCGAAACAGCATTCAGTACCGCAGCTTGCCTCGGCCAGCCAAATCGAGCACTCTAACTGTGATTGGACGCCCAGCAGCTCGTCCTGTCAGTGGCACTATTGACCCTTCAATGCTGAGTTTGAAACCAGTTTCCATAGCCACCACAGGACCCAGGATTAAAGAGCAAAGTGTCTGCAGCGGTAAAATGATAAACAGAACGAGTACAGGCCCGGTGAACCAAACAGACAGAGAGAAGGAAAAGGAACGGGCTAAGGCGAAGGCTGTTGGTGTGGAAATGGACTGCGGTTCTCTGAAAGGAGAAGACAGTCAGTCGGAGTGTGCAGGAGAGTCTGCTGTGAAGCTGCACAGCCTGAGAAGAACGAGCAGCAGCAAATATCCTGAGCTATCCTCTCCCACAACACCAAGGTCTCTCATTAAACTACAGCTCACCCAGATCACAAAACACTGCTTAGTTTTTTTCCTCTTTTGGTTTACAGATAGTTCTATTTTTGTTGCAAAAGAATATAATCAGAGAAATCTGAGTAATGGGAACCTCTTTCTGTGGATTTATATTGCAGCTACTGTTACAATAGTAGTTTAAAACTTTTTTTACTTAGACTGTAGTTCATCTATAGTGGATAAAGGCAGTACCTCATTAGAGAAAAGGACCACTTTACATTATGCTGTATCACAGTTATTTTCTTCTTTTAATTTAATAATCTGGTGTCCTTCCTTTTGATTCCTAGGATGCTGAACACCAAGTCTCTTGGTCGTCCGCCCAGCTTGGCTCACCTGGACAAGATGAATTCAAACAGTCTTGACTCCTGTGTGACCATCCAGGACCTTCCACCTAAAATACCACCATACTCAAAGCTCCAAGACCTGGCCGCTTCCCACATATCCACCCGTCTCACCCCGAGCCCGGCGCCAATCCTCCACATTGATTCTCCCACTTACACAAGTGAAAGCCTGAGCTTGAGTGGATCCCCAATGCTCTACACCAAACTTTCCAGCATGCATCGCAGCTTGGAGTCTTTACCCCTCCAGATGAGTGTGCCATCCACTGTAAGGCTTGTGCCACCAGATACTAGCAATAAGGAAGAGAGGAGTGCAGGAACCTGGAGAGGTGGGAGTAGAACTTCGCTCAACCTCTCGGATAGGCAAGTTGGCTCATCATTTTCAAATAGGCTGTAGCACATCACATTTCAATCAGTTGCATTGCTATCCCTAGTTTTTATATAAAGCAAATTCTAGGTGTTATTAAAGGTATAGTGGAGGATGTTCTTCTTCGGGGTAGGTCATCAAAAAAGAGATCCTCCTAATTGTCAATCATTCTGGTGATATGTTTATAGTGAGTGGTGGCCCAGTGGTTAGGGCATAGAGCTTGCCACTCTGGGTCTCTGACCAAGATCCTTAACCCCACATTGCTCCCCGGGTGCCCCATGATGGCAGCTCACTGCTCCCCAAAGGGATGGGTTAAATGCAGAGGTCAATTTCTCCAATGTGAGATCAATAAAGTTCAATTATTATTATGTAAGGGCCGTCCTACATGCTCGTCCCCAATTTTACTTACTGGTGTTGAGTCTGACATATTGGGAAAATTGTAAATCTTGGAAAATGAGCTTGTATGAGCAAACAGCAACTTTTAAACAGAGCGTGCACAAGAAGAAAGGGGCTTGTGCATGTTCTCACACGCGTTTAATAAAAGCTCCCTCTCTGGAGCAGGTACAGGGTTGTGCATGTGCGTTATTTTTTAAGAGGAGAAGGCGGGTATCTTCAAAAATTTGCGAAATCCTCCATTATGCCTTTAATTTTAAATCAACAAATAAAAAAAAATCAAAACCTTAAGTTCATCCCACTGGAAGAAAACTTTTTTTGACACTGGTCTGGAACAAAAACAAGAAACAAATACAATCATGTTGTGTTATTAGGCTACCTGAATTTCTGTATTCTCTTTCTCTGAATTTAGTATTATCTTGAAAACAGAACAAAAGTTAACTCATTATACAGTTAGAGGATGAAGAATGAACAAAACTAAGAACATTTATAACCTAAAAGTAAATTAGAATTTAGTTATTTGGCAAAATAATATGGAATTTCTGGAAAAAAAAGTGAATAATAAAATAGAATGAAAAACATTACTTACAAAGAAAAAATATTTTAATGATGAAATCTAAATTTATACTCATAATACAGCATTAAATAAAAAATTTTAAATGTATTATTTCTTATTCTAATGTTTAACTCTGATCTAAAAAAAATTATGAGGAAATAGAAGACTCTACAGGTCAGAAGATATCTGTGACCCATGCAGTACCAGAACCAGGCCGCAGCTATAAAGAAAAATGGGAACTTCTTAATTTAGGTCTGAATCAGTCTGTAACCCTGCTAAAGAGATAATTGTCTCCGCGAAAAAAAAAAAAAGACAATTCCAATATGAACCTTCACATCTGTTAACAGATACTGACACAGAACTTCTATGTATAATAATTCCCAATGTCATTTTGTTGTGTTTTAATTGCTGGGGAAGACATTGTTAGAATTTGATTTGAATGCACTGGTCTTCACATTAGAGGTCAACTGACTACAAATATTGGCAGAAAGAACTGCATTTGTCTTTGCCACTCATAATTTGCTCTGTGCTTTTTGCAAAGTCAGCATACATTGTATGTCTCTTGGCAGCCAGAAAATATTTTGTGTGGCTTTTATGGGAACCCAAAGTGTGTGCTGTCATTATGAATAAGAGTTGAAGGTTTGGATCCATCATGAAATTGCTGTTCGGCCACAGTGAAGATCATCCAATATATTTTCTGGCAAACAACTGCAGACCATCCTATGCATTGTTTTGTACAGTACTTATATGGCTTAAATTTACATACACTGGGATATAAACCAATGCTATGTCTTTGAAATATTAAATATTCCCACAAAGCTCAGCATATATATATGCTGCTGAATGTGATTCTGTGAGATTAATGTTTTAACTCTTTCCATTTTGTTCACAGTTTGCAAACAGACCGGAATACTTTGCCGAAAAAAGGCTTAGAGTGAGTTCAAATAGCATTGCATGCTTTTTATTATTCTCCCAGTTTTTTGTGATGTTTTTACTAAAATGTTCTCATCTTTAGACGTTATGGTTCAAGCCTCTCGGACAGTGATGGATGCAAACCAGGAAGGCGCCATTCTCACACTGTAGTGAGCATGACAGAGAGCAGCACCCCCCCTCAGCTACCTTCACCCACCCGCATTCTCCATCCTTCTACCAGCAAAACTACTCTAACAAACATTGGTAAGTCTGTCTGCTCTACTTTAGATAGATTTAAACGACAGCATGTTGAAACAATTTTGCTAATTTCAGTTTGATCCTGTTTGCCTCTTTTGTGCAATAGTTGCCCCAATTTCCTGTGGCAGCCCAAGGATATCACGCTCCAACAGCACAGGGCCCTCCGGGGACTCAGCCTGTGATCTGTATGGATCTTCGCCCCTGGGTAGCAGTATGTCTCTGGCTGACCGGCCAAAAAGCATGCTGCGATCCGGGTCCTTCCGTGAACCAGGAGAGGACGGTGAATGTTCTTGCTTTTGATCTTTTGGTTGAATACCTCAACATAAACAGTGCATTTTTATGACCCCAAAAATACAATGCAAATGCAATTTTTTAAACACACTTTCTAAGAGCAAATCGAACAGCTTATAGACTAATCTGCTATTATATGTGCTTGATTCTTGTACTTAGTGGCATATTACATTTCCTTTACTATTTTTATTTTGTTAAGAATGGGGATACAGAATAATTCTAAACTATGCTTCTGTTGAAATACTTTAAGTTTTTCTACACTAAGTACTGTAGAAAAACTGTTTGACCCTTAGGTTATCAGAGCATATCCTTAACTTATGCTATTGTAAATTTCTGTTTGTGTTCTGTTGATATAAAGCCGTTAGTTCCTTCAACAGGGATATTTTTCTTTGTCTTTTTAGTGCACGGCTCTGTGCTTTCGTTGGCATCCAATGCTTCATCTAACTATTCCGCGGTGAGTCAACACAACTCTAATGTGGATAAAAAAAACATTGAACATACATGACATTTGCTGTATTTTAGTCCTTATGATTTAAACTATCTAAAGTCTCAGTCATCTGGGTCATGCAAAACAAAAATTTATTAAATTGGAAGGCAACAGGACTTGGGCTCAGTTTTTTTGAAGAAGTTTCAACACCTCCATGTTACTTAAATACATCAGCACTGAAACTACAGGTTGCTCTGGAAAACAGGCAACAGAATTGAAAAAAGAGACTTCTGTCAAAAGGTCTTTAGAAATAAACCTAATGAAAGTCCTGTTGCCTTCCAATTTAGGCATATTTACATTCAATATTAATTCATATTTTCTATAAAACATGAACCAACTTTCCTACTTTCTTTTTTTAACATGACAAGAACTACTTAATTAGAAAATCTTTTTGTTCCTCAGCAGTAAAGGTTGTGAATAGAGGTTGTATTCCTTGTGTTTTCATATTTCATTTCTAAACAGGACCTTACAATATTTTTTTTAACCAGTAGACTTAATCCTTCACATTATCCCCTTTTCTTGTTTTGATGCTTCATAAGAATGAGGAAAGAATACAAGGAGAGGTAAGTTTCACATTATATTGATCTGCTCTGTCATCTGTCATCGGGCTGTTTGAATGTGTCCAGTACTCTGACAGTGTTCCACTGAATTTAGATTATCTCTAGCATGATTTAATCTCCAATATCCCTCCTAAATATGCAATAAATATTCCAAACCCGATACATTTGTCAGTGCATTCTCTCCATATTCAGGTATTGTAGTGCCTTTTTTCATCTTTTGTTTTTGTGGTGACGTGAACTACATATTTATGTTGTTTGTGTGTCTTAGTTGTAAACAAAGACAACAGTCATTGAAGTAACAGTCTTCTGTGCTGTTAAAGCTTTGTCCACAGATGAATTACGTTGCTTCTCCAAAGATCAGTTTGGTTGCTTCTTGAGCCTGATTAAAAAATTTGTCTGCAGCAAATCCGCAAGTTGAGACGAGAGCTGGAGTCGTCCCAGGAAAAGGTTGCCGATCTTACTATGCAGCTTTCTGCCAACGTATGTATCGCTGTTAATTTTAATCTCAACCTGTCTAATAGTTTTTTTTTCATCCCTGCTTCTTTGTGTTACTTCTTTATGAATCTTTTTATGCATGAATCTGACACATTACATTGACTCAAAGTCAGAATTTTGCCTCTGAAACAAAAGAAGTTATTTTATTATTTATTTTTTACATTTACTACATTGTTTTGGTGTTCAGGTTTCAGTTTTAGTGAGTAAATTAAGCCCACCTTTGTGTGTGTCTTATTCTTTATATGACTGCATTAAAGATTTTTCCCAGATCTAATGCAACTGTCCCTTTCTTTATGCCTTGGCTGTTTTGACTGCTGGATTCACTGCTGCCCCCTGCCTGCATCCTACTGACTCACAACTTTGGATGCTGGGTGTAGCAGCTAGGCCAGGTTTGTTAGAGTGTAACTCTGTGATGAACTTTTGGAGTTGTGATGTGGTATAGTACATCCCATCATGATACAGTACTTTTTATAATTTGGCAACCTCTTAAGTAAAACCTCTGTTGTCTAAATTGGCACAGCATCATTGCTGTTTTTGAGCAGTTTCTCTGATGAATGTTTCACTTCTGAATGCTTCAGTTTTCATGGATCACAACCTTGGTGTTTCCTTAGAAACAACTATTATTTTATTACATTACTGTCTAAATGCTATTAGAAATCATTCAAAACATTTTTCAAATTTTGAGAGATTATAGTTGTCATGCATGGTGGAAAAAAAACTCCCATCAGGATTTACTCCTCAGCACAACTCTCAGCTTTATTCTTGTTGCATGTCATCCCACCTCTATTGTTTCTCACTTGTCATTGTCTTCTCATTACATCTGTTTAGCAAAAATTTTGGTGTGTATAAATTAAGTTTTTACTTGTAGCTTCAAATTATATCAAGTATGCAGCAATAATGTTTGACAGGTTTGTATAAACAAACTGCATTACAAACACAGGGCTCTACAACCACTTAGAAAAAGTGAAAACATCTTAGATTTAAAGCCCATTCTTTATTGGAATATGGTTTAAATTCAGAGGCAACTATAAAAAAAAAAGCAAGACTGGAAGACATAGACTTTGACTAAGTGTCACATCCTGCTCTGGAGCTGTTTACAAAAAAAGTTTTATTTAAGAGCTATCAAATGAAAACTAAATCACTGAAATGTTTTCTAGTGAGCCAAAATGAATAGCAAACATATAAAATTGTCAAATTTGTGTTAGAAAAGAAACAAACAAAAAGCAAAGCCCCAGTGACCATTTAAAAATCATGTCTGCTATAAAAGTCTCTTGTTTTGAAAGAGTTCTGGGCTTTTTTGCCGATTTAGTCTGATCATTACAGCATGGGTCTTGCAAATATCCTCCTAATTTATGTTTTGAAAGAAAAGAAACAAACCTACTTTTCTAATTTGATACATGGAGTGAGCTTCACGTCATTGTTGTGCATCACCATTATCACCGTAATGTTTGCTTTCAAGCCATTTGTTTGATGTACGGAGTGAGGTTGCAGACCACTTTGATTCAGCTCATGACTCGTTCCCATCTGCACACATTGTGGTTGTTTACCTATCTTTCTTCCTCACGCAGGCTAATCTGGTTGCAGCGTTTGAACAGAGTCTGGCGCTGATGACAGCACGTCTGCAGACACTATCGGTCTCCTCAGAACAGAAGGTATCATGTCGACATAAGTAATTAATGAATCCCGTTTGACCTGTGAACGCGTCATAAGTGACAGAATTGAAGGCACTAGTGATGAATTACAGCAGAGCAGAGCATTTTATATGCCCTTAGAATTATTATTTTTACAGCAAAATTGCAAATTTGTCTTTGATAAATGGTCTTATGAACAAGTATCAAATCATCATCCCTCCACCACCGTGGCTGAGAGGTAGGATAAATTGTCTATGCCGCTGTGTTTTTGCTTATCCGTTCAAAGAATGTTGTTTACAAAGTGTTTTTGGTTCATTTACAAAATGTACCTTTAAAAACAAATTCATAATCGGTCTTTTTCACTTTATATCATTGTGATTTTTAACCTTTTAGTTTCTGTTAAGTCACGGGTGTAGCTATTAAGTTTACCCAGAAAAACAGATGAGGGTCAAAGTTTGCAATGTCAGAATAATCCATGCTGTCATCAACCACTTAGCCCAACCTGAAACCCTGAGTGAGAGCTTAAGGACTTGCCACCCTCCTCTGCTCAGAACAGACAGTTCAGTATGTCAGCTGTTGTGAACCGACATTGTTTTCTTTCTCCAGGACTCGGAGCTTACTGAATTAAAACAGACTATTGAGGTTTTGAAAGCCAAAAATACAGAGGCCCAAGAAATCATCCAGACTGCTCTGAGTAACCCAGATATCACGCCTAAAGGTACAGATTGTGATGCCAATTTGGACCTAAATTAGGTTTCTTTGGAAAGCTTAAACAGTTCGTTTTGTCTTGTTTTTTTTCTTTGGTATCCAGAGCTGCTGATAAATCGACAGAACTCTTCAGAGAGCATCTCCAGTCTAGCAAGCACTACAAGCCACTCAAGCATGGGGAGCCTCAAGGAGCAGGAAGCCAAGAAGAAGAAAAAGAAGAGCTGGGTGAGAAAACAAAGGCACAAAAGTGTCTTTGTTTCTGCTGGACTAAATATAAAAATATTTATTTAGACAGTTCTTCAGAATTAGCTTACTTTGAGCAATTCACAGTAAAGCACGTCTCTAGTGTAACATATACTGATTAGTTTAGTTTTTTTCCATATGCCCAGTGAAACAGCTGCCAGTAAAGTCACACATTTCTGCAGGAAAATTAGTCATTTAGTTAATCTAAATATAAAATTTAATAGATGGATAAAAATATCTAATTGGCCAAGAGTTGATATGTACTGTGAGCTATGTCAGTGTTTGAGAAGGAGAACATAAAAACAGAAAACAGAAGAGAACATGCAAAAAAAAAAAAAAAAAAAGCTGGAAAACATGTACTGACAAGAAACTGAAAATGTACAGTAACTGAATGAGTAGAAGAAAGAAAATCAGTAAAAAACTAACATAAAAAACATTATTAATAGATCTCACTATCCAAAGAATAATATAACATGACAACACTGAGCCACAAAAGTTGGCTGAACTTAATGTTACACCTATCAAATTTACACATTTAGGACAGCTTACCACAACAATGAAAATAAATAGAAACCAGGAGGCAACAATTAATTAAAGCTAATTTAAATCCAAAGATAACAGAAACAATGAGCTGTGATCCTGCATTTCAGTGCATGCCTATGAATCTCCTATTTTTCTCCACATAGTTTTAAGTATGACTCTGTTCTCTCCCTCATGCTCCCCTTTTTATTGTAGGTCTTTGAGGTGAGTGATGTTGTAAAAAAATATATAAATAAATCCATTCACTCTCCTTTATTTCAGCCTGCATGTTTTTAATGAGTCATACTTAGGAGACATTAAAAAACTTATACCCATTTGTGTTTATTCATTACGCTTCTCATTATGTTATCTCATCAAATACCCAGCATTGCATTTTGCATGTGTTTCACAACAAATTCAGTTTTCACAAATTGTACAAAATATAATCACATATTTCATATCTTATTCAACAGAACATCAACTCTGAATAATCTATTCTAATTAACTAATGATTTCCCCATAACTTATACACACATGTATAATAGCTGTTCAAAAGTTAACCTACAACCATGTTTCATGTAATACGAACTGTTTACCACTTCCAATTGAAGATTCAATGTTTTTGTTGTGGAACACCTTTCAAATCCTTGTAAATTCTTAACTGGGTTTTATTTCCTGTAAATAGCTGCGTAGCTCCTTCAACAAAGCTTTCAGTAAGAAAGGCTCAAAGTCTGGGCCATATGCTGACATCGAAGAGATCGCCACCCCAGAGTCCTCTGCCCCCTCGTCCCCGAAGGTCAGCTTTGTTGGCGATAACCCTCAGCAGCCAATGAAATCCTCAGCCTCTGCTTCATCAGCAGGGTAAACCTCCATAAACTCTCCAGCCTTGATGTTCATATTTGTTTGACTTTGGTAGTTGTAATCCTATTTAATAGACAGAGCAAATGATCTGATTGGCCTAGAGATTACATTCGCTATGAGCTGTTTCAGTGTTTCAGGAAAAGAACATGAACTGACACAGAAAATGTCAAGTTTCTCCTATCGGTATTGATGGGATATCTTTTTTTTTCCAGACACTGTGAAGACGACGATGCGGGAGATGATAAAGTTGTGACAGAACTGCGCTCAGAGCTGTGGGAGAAAGAGCGAAAGCTTACAGACATCCGTCTGGAGGCTTTGAGCTCGGCACATCAGTTAGAGCAGCTGCAGGAGGCGATGACTAACATGCAGGTATATCTACTTGCCTATTTAAGAACATTTGTATTCTAAAAAGTTGAACATAAAGAAATTTGCTTTTAACAGAAAATACTAAATATTGCAAAAACTATCACTTATGCAATGTTTATAATCCATTTGAAAGGATTCTGCCAGTGACTTATGTGTTTTCTTTTCTTTTTATCTTTGCAGAGGACAGTGGAGAACCTGAAGACTGAGAATGATAAGCTTAAGACAGGTAGTCTGTCTCCCTCTGCGTCTCCTGGACCCTCCAGCTCTGTGTCACAGTCCTCTGGTCTCACAGCCCTGGGGAGTTCATCCCCCCGTCAGTCAGTAGCCATGCACTTGCCCAAAAGCCACAGCAGAGGGCTCAGTGAGGGGAGCAGCTCAGGTACAGTCCAGTCTATGGAAAGAGGAGTAACACTGGGCAGTTGAGGAGTAGCTACAGACTGGACTTAAGAAAAACCTCAGCCATTAAAAAATATTTATTTCATAGAATATATTTGAAATCTACATAAATGCAATTTAAAAAGATATCAAAAAAAGTTTTTTTTAAAGCTTGAAGGCCCTTATAAAAAGCACAATTAATCTAAGCAACACTAGGGCCCCAATTTGTTAAAGGTGTAGTGGAGGATTTTTGCAAATTTTTGAAAAGACCCACCCTCTCCACTTAAAAAAAAAAAAAATGCACATTCACAACCCTGTACCTGCTCCTGAGAGGGAACGCCAGTTAAACGCGTGTGAGAGTGTGCACGAGCCAATTTCTCCTCGTGCACACTCTGTCTAAAAGTTGCCTTTTTTATATACAAAATGACTTTCCAAAAGAAGATGAGCACTTTTTTAACTATGTTAGACTCATGGGGACAAGTATGTAGGACGGCCTTACCTAAACACATCACCAGAATGATTGACAATTAGAGGACCTCTTCTTTTGATGATCCACCCAGAAAAAGAACATCCTCCACTATCCCTTCAAGCTTCTGATGTGTATAAATCCATATTTTCTTATGATTTTCAGAGCTTCAGTTTAATTTCCTCTTTTTTATGTCCTTTTGTTCTCCTCAGCAGATGTCCAGCCTGCAGATTCTCTCAGCCTTTCCTCCCAGAGAGATGATCATCGTGTCAGAGTGGTAGTTTGTGTGGCAGATTTACGGGTTTTTAAAGATGTATGTTTTGGTGTTTTTTCTCTTTCATTTTGTTTTCATGAATAATCTTGCATTCTGTATTACCTAACGGATGCACTTTGACTCAGCAGGAGACTAAACCACAGGATTTCTTCATCGGTACCGTCAGGGTCAATGGCAGGATGGACTGGGTCATGTTGGATTCTGCTGTCAGTCAGGCTTTCAAAGTAAGACACTGACTTTAGACAATCTAAATTTATTTACTATTTTAGGAAACACAAGTTTTAGAATGGGATTTGGGATTCACATTGCAGGTTTTCTTCATTCAAAAACTAAAACTTTTGAAATATTGTTGAGTTTGTCAATCATTGTCTCACCACATTTGGAGCAAGTTTTGGCCTTTATTTCAGGGAAGGTTTTGTATAAAGCACATGATTTAAATTTCAAATTATATCAGACATTCCTAATTTTTTTATTCTATTTTTTTTTTATTACAGGTCTATATAGCCAAGGTGGACCCCACCTCCAGCCTGGGTCTTTCCACGGACTCAATCTACAGTTACAGCATGGGTCACATTAAAAGAGTGCTGGGAGGCGAAGCCCCTGAGACGCAGCCATCTCGCTGCATGTCGCGAGGCCCAAGCAGCATCACAGTGGCACTAAAAGGTCTGCAGAGTCGGTCAACTCGTCACTTTTAATTTTAGATCCAAAATCGTTTATTATTTGCAGTAGGCAACATTTTGATTGATTGTGCAATGTTTATGTAAAAATTAAAGTTCAAATTCTCCCTTTTGAGCTCTGTATCAAAGAATACTTACAGTACAGTAGCCATTTGTTTGCATGTATTCAGTTCCTCCCTTCACCTCTGCACATACGAATTGTAGGGAAGCTGTACTGGTAGACAAAGCTTAAACTGAGCTTTAAGCAACATGATCTGAGTGCTAACAGATCCAGCTGGCCAACCAGCCTCAGACACATGGGCCCAAAAGAAGTGTAAAGAAGATGGTCCTCTTGCAGCCTGGGGGCTGGGCATACACTGACTTCCTACGCTCAAAGCAGAGGTATTTTCAGAGTGAAGAGTCTGAGCTTAGCGAGGCTTATAAAGGACATAGGAGGTGATCAAAGTCTCTTTACAAAATATCATCTTGCCAATACACAACCAGTTTTAGTTCATATTCATAGTGTTATTGATCCCAGCCAAAGTTTAAGACTGCCCTTTATTATGTCTCACGCTGTTAATAGATAGTAATTCTCATTAGATCATTTTCACTTCCTCTCGTTATAATCAGGTTTGAAAGAGAAGTGTGTCGACAGCCTTGTGTTCGAAACTCTCATCCCAAAACCCATGATGCAACATTATATAAGTCTCCTTCTCAAACACCGCCGACTCATCCTGTCCGGGCCGAGCGGAACAGGGAAAAGTTACCTTGCTTCCCGGCTGGCCGAGTACCTGGTGGACCGCAGCGCCCGCGAAATCACAGAAGGCATTGTGATCACTTTCAACATGCATCGACAGTCCTGCAAGGTAGCAGAAACAAACTTTTCATTGAGATCCCCTCATTATAAACTTTATTTTGTCAGTCAGGATTTCACGGTTAATACTGCTTGTCTTTGTCGCTAATTTTTTACAGGATCTCCAGCTTTATCTTTCTAACTTGGCCAATCAAATCGATCGGGAAACCAGTTCATCAGAAATCCCATTGGTTGTTATTTTAGATGACATTCACGATCCAGTGTCCATCAGTGAACTTGTTAATGGTGCTCTCACATGCAAATATCACAAATGGTAAAATTTAAATTCAGAAATGTTTATTGAATATAAAGATTTTAAGATGATCGTAAATGTGTGACTTTGTCTCTGCATTTAGTCCTTATATCATTGGCACAAGCAATCAGCCTGTGAAGATGATGGCAAATCATGGCCTCCATTTAAGCTTCAGGTTTGTTTAATTTTACAGTTAGATCACAATAAATCTAAAGGATATTCATTTTTATTATGTTACAGGTGTGTTATAGCCATGTAAACTGTTAAAAATCTAACATAATAACCTCAAAACCAATTCTGTTTTGATAAAGGATGCGAGTTAAGAATCCCACCTGTGTTTGGTGAAATGTTAATATTTTTTTGTTTCTTGATTCAGGATGGTTACCTTTTCTAACAACGTTGAACCGGCTAATGGATTCCTCACACGGTATTTGCACCGGAAGCTCATGGAGTCAGAAGATGAAGGGAGTTTAACCAATGAAGACCTCATCAGGGTTTTAGATTGGGTTCCTAAACTGTGGTACCATTTGCATACATTCCTGGAAAAGCATAGCACATCGGACTTTCTCATTGGTATGAAAAACAAAACAAAACAAAAAAATGATATCAACGTATGGCTTTAACTTTTATGCATGTTGTTTACATGTTTTCTGTTTCACCTTCTCTTCAGGTCCTTGCTTTTTCCTGTCATGCCCTGTTTCCGTTGATGAGTTTCGATCTTGGTTTATTGATCTGTGGAACCACTCTATCATTCCATATCTTCAAGAAGGAGCAAAAGATGGCGTCAAGGTAATATCTCATCACCAGTGGGCTTTTATGATGCAATAATTGAATGCAATATTTAGCATTAATGGTGTCAGAGCACCAGCACACCAGTCTCACTATTTCAGTTATGAAAACAAATTGTTGAGATCACTATGAAGTACATATTACTGACCTTTGCACTACTATTTCAATTCAATTGAAATTAAATTATTAAAACAAAATGCTAGTAGACACTGATCATAAGTTAATTCATTTAACAAAAAATTCAGTTCAGTTTATTTAGAAAGTGCCAATTCACAACACATGTCATCCTAGGATATTTTACAGACAATTCAGTCAGATTGGTTAAAAGTATATGTCAAGGAAAACCAGTTAATTGCATCAAGTCATTGAATTGTAAGACATGTGAGTCCTGATGACTTTCTCACTGCAAAATCTAAATCTAGATAAGTAATTATTTCTTAAAATAAGTGCATTTATTCTTGAATTGAGGAGGTAAAAGAGACATTTTGCCAATGGAACAAGACAATTAACACTTAAAATAAGAAAACACAATTGCATTGTCTTATTTCAAGTGCATATTATCTAATTATCTTATTTTAAAAGTAAAATTACTCATTCCATTGGCAAACTATCTCATTTACCTACTCAAATTAAGGGTGAATACACTTAATTTAAGAAATTTTAACTTATTTCTAGATTGTTTTTGCAGAAGATTATTGCTTGCATTTTCTTGTTGACTCCTCAGAAATACTTTACATGCTACATGTGTGCATGTAGGTTCCCACTGTGGTTAACAGTTCGTAAGTGTGAAAGGCCCTCTGCTGAGGCTGACTGGGGTTAAAGGAGACAGAAGCAGACAAAGAAAAAGCAGCAGAGATACAAACAGTAACTGTTAACCAGCTCCAGCAAGGCAGACGAGCTCCGAGCCTGCTCCCATGTAAGAGGGTGACAAAGAGGACATCCAGTTAGTAACAGTGAAAAAAGAAACATAAAGACAAAGTTTCTAATAGAAAGTATCTATATACTGTATGTTATAAGGGAAAGTGTTTAGACTTTGGAAGGGATTATTCAAACATATCTGATGTACAATTAATTATATTTGAACTTTATGAAAAATGAAATTAAAAATCATACATTTTGTATAAGTCAAACTAGATCCTTTATTTGCATCAATTTGGATCAATAGTCCTTTCTGTATAATCGTTTAAAGGTTTTCTGTTCACTATATGTTCCTGGTTGTGTAAGTCAGAGTTAGCAAGAAAAAAAATATTACAGAGGTCTCAAACACTTAGGTTTGATATGAGATTGATACACTTGGCTTTAAATTTTTTTGTTTTTTACCATTTAATAACTTCACCTTACTGTACACAATCGTGTGTTTTTCATTTTTACCTTTGTGTGTATCTGCATGTTTCCATTTGCCTTTCACTTTCTCCAATGTGCAATAATAAGTAATTATTCTATTCTATTCTATTCTATTCTATTCTATTCTATCCTATTCTATTCTATTCTATTCTATTCTATTCCCATTCCATTCTATTAAATTCTATTGTATTCTTTTCTATTATATTGTAGGTTGAAGTAGCAAATAGAATTTTTAAAGGGGACATAGAATGCAAAACAGAGTTTATATTGTCATAGATCAGAGGTCACAGATTAGCAGACCGTGGTCTGGATCCGGACCCACCTGCTGGCTAATCCTGTCCCAACCTGATTTAAAACATGAATAAATTACTGCATGTTGTCTGATGTCACTTGCACCGCTTCTCCTTCTCCGAAATCCCACATCCTCCATCACTGCTCCACCCCGCAGCATTCCAGACCTCCTGCGCATAGCAAAGCCTAGAGCCTCTGCTATTCCTCCTGTATTGCTGAGCTCTGACTTATCTTCGGAGCTTGAGGAGAGCGTGTGCGATATTATCATTAAATTCAAAGGAGCAAAACATACAGAAATGAAGGCTTAATTTAATATGACATATCAAAATAATTCCCAACAGCATCCAGCTTATGTGCGGTTTCTGATGGAGATGAGAAATCTGCTTCCTGGTCTGTTGAAGTACCAATCGTTTGCATCCAATTATTTAAATAAACGGTGTTAGTTTTTTGAAATATATAAGAATTATGCTCTAATTTGTAGGTACCAATCTGTTGTTACTATATTTTAATTTGACAAACCAGATCTTCTCGCTGTTCTTTTTCCTGTTTGGTGCGATTGCAATAGCAGATCTTGACCTGGCCGGACCGGAGCAGAGCCTGAATATTTAGAGTATATTTGGCTCAACCTCCTGCTGTGAAGCAGGATTCTCCACCATGAAAAGAATCAAAAATAAATATGGATACAGGCTCAAAATGAGCACCTTGATATGTGCTTGGGAATGGCTTTGTCTCCATTCAATAAAACCCATGTTTATTTATTTATTTGTTTATTTGATTGGGACAAGTATGTTTCATGAATAATGTCACACACTACAACATTTAAGCTAAGGCTCATTCTCAATGCCTGTCCCCAGTTAGGCTTTTAAAGCCTTGCAGGGCAGCCTAAAGCCCACTGCTCTCATTAAGCCATAAAAAAGAAAGAAAAAAAACAAACGTCAGTTCAGGTATTTTATTTAAAAAATGAGTCAGGAAATTGTCTATATACCAAACTGAAAGATTGTTGTTCTCTACTTCACCAATCCATTTTGAAATCTACACTTTAGATTTTAAAATGGATTTTTTTATTTTTATTGAAAAATTCACTGTATATCATGGATGCATAAACACCTAATTTTATTTCAGTGTTAAATTCTGTTTAAAGTAACAGATATGAACGGTATGAAGTGTCGACTTCTGGGCTAGGTCCTGGACCGCACCTCAGCAGAGAGTGGTCCAGGCGCTAGCCAACCCCCCTCCTTAGCCTGAGGAGACGGGGTGGGGGCCGGTAAGGCAGGCGGGGGGAAGCACGGGGCCACCGGTGTCCAGGCTACCATTACTGGGTTGGGTTCGGTCACTCTGTCCCCCACTGGCTCCCTGCCCCCGTCCGCCGGGGTTCCCGGACCAGCCCCGGCACTGACGGCTGGGTTCGAATGCCCATTGTGTTTCGACTACTGCTGTACTGTAGTCGACCAAAATCCTGGACGATTTTGAAATTCCCCTAGACATTTTTTTTTAGGTATGAAAAGTAGGACATGTCCGGGAAAAAGAGGATGTCTGGTCACCCTACCATAACAACAATTTGATGTTTCAGTGAGTGAGTGCTTGTTTCTATGATGCGTCTTTGCTTAGCAGCTTCGCTCGTTGTAAACCAACTAATCAGTGCACAGCTCATCTAAATATTCATGAGCATACCATTAGAGGAAGAAAACCTGTCGTTTCATTCTAGGGCTTTTAACCAGGCCTGCATTAGGGCTAATAGAACAGCAAATATGCCATTTTCAGCCCAATCAATGTTGCAAACCCTATTAGAGACCTTAAGGACCAGAACCAAATACCCTATATAATCATTCTGTGATCCCTTTAGGAACAATTGTGCAAAATTGGAAGTGGTGTAGTTATCAACACTAATAAAAGCAGCTGTTTTAAGCAGTTCTGAACTGCTGATCAGTCTCCTTGACCCAGTTGGAAAAAAAACTATTTATTGTGTTTCTATAAAGCTCTGGAAAACAAAATCTTCTTTAATTTAGCTCTCCTCTGGTCAGCATCTGCTTTCAGGAGAAGAGCTCTCACAAAAAATCCAGCCTAGACGTTTTCATCGTAACAATTGTCAAAGTTATAAAACATATTTTTAAGGGACCTTACAGACAGAGATAAATCTAAAGGCCCCTACAAGAACATTTTTAAGTGGCCAGCAGCTCTTGGAGGTGAAAATATGGTGTGTTTGTATGTGCTGTCACTGTTTATAACATGTCAAGATAGATCACTACAATCCCCCAAGACTAGGTCTCCCTCATTTTAGTTAGACTACCTTTTACATTGCTGCAAAGAACTGAAACATGGAAAAGATGACACTTGTCTGGACAAAGAAACTGCTGAACACTGACATTCACCAATGTTTTAATGTTGAGCAGAAAAACAACAGACCCTACATATGGTGGTCATGATCCTGCCCTTTGTGGACTTTTTGGTTCTGTTTAAGTTTTTGAGTTGAACTTTTTGAGTTTTCACTTGCATTTTTATTGATTTCATTCTCTGTTTTCTTGGTTATTGTTTTTTTTTGTAATTTTGTGTTATTGTAGTTGTTTTCAAGTTGTATTTAAGCAGTGTTGTGTTTTTGTGTTGCTCTCTGTTGCCCTCTTGCACCAGTCTCTTTTCCCCTGGCTTCTAGTTGCTTCTATCCACACATGCTCCCTATCAGCTGATTACCCCATTCTTTGTTCTGTCTATCATATATTATACTATTCCTGCCCAGTTCCTCATGCTGGTTTCTCTTCATTGCTTTGCTCCCCGTGTGTGTTTCTCCCTGGCGTCACCTTTTTCGGTTTCCTTTATTGTTGCTGGATTTGTGCTTCTGTTGCCATCAGAATTTAAATAAAATCTACAATAACTCATCTCTGCCTCCTCATCTCTGCATGTGGTTCCTCAATCAACTTCCAGCCAAACTTGACAACAGTCAAGTCAAATCTTTAACATCTTTCATCTACATTTTCTCCTTTATTTTTTCAAACACAAATTAAATGTATGGATTTTTGTGCTTTTTTAGGTTCATGGTCAGAATGCGGTATGGGAGGACCCAGTGGAGTGGGTGAGGGGAACCCTGCCATGGCCGTCCGCACAGCAGGACCAGGCAAAGCTATTCCATCTCCCTCCTCCAAGTGTCAGCTCTAGCAGTCCGTGTCAGTCCAGTGAGGAGAGGCCTCACAAAGAAACTCCGCCCAGCTCTATGGAATCAGATCCCCTGGTAGGAAAGAATCTCTGAAAGTTTTTTTCACATACTTTAAATCATTTTTCTTATTAATGTATTTTTTTCTGATATTCATTTTCTTTCTTTTGTAGATGGCAATGCTTCTCAAACTTCAAGAGGCTGCTAATTACATCGAATCTCCAGACAAGGAAGATCTGCCTAAACTTTGAACACAAACTCACGTTTTAAAATGCAGCACTAAAGATTTTTGATTTCATGTGTTTCACTGTGTTGAAGCAATCAGGAGGAAAAATATCCTGGAAAAAAATGGTTTTGGGGAAAGTTTATATGAGTAAAGCTTTTACAGTTTAGATTCACAATATGAAAACACATAAAAGACAAACACTTAAGCTCTAATAAATAAATATCTATATTCTGTAACAAAACTATATGTAACAGTCTACCACCACACTAGCCCTCAATACTATTAGATTGGTGCTATCTTTTTACTCTGAAATCCACTCTCAGTTCAGGGGATTTCTGCAAAAACATGCACCGTCCATCCTGTTTTATCCTTAAGTGCATACTGGGATAGTGAGTCCTCATCAAATGGTTCTAATTGTGATATTAACCTTCTGGAAAAGAGTATGACAGCATGCCAGACTCCAACGTTAGACGCAAAAATCTTTTCTACATATCTACAGTATACAGAAAGCCTTTGAAGGCTTTTTTTTCTGAACACATATGCAATCCTGAACTTTACAACTCAAGCAGGTAAAAAAAAATGCCTTAACAGCAGAGATGTTCTTCTCACCTTGACATAAGCTGGTTTTACTGGTGCTTTCATCAATATCACAACTATTCAGTACAAAATCTTTTCTTTCCCCAGGTCTCTCTGCATTTCATCATTTCAGCTAATCATTTATTTTACAACAAAATATATCAGACCTTTTGGTCTTTTTCAGTTTTATAGGAAATATTGCTGTCATACTCTTTTACTTTTATATAAAACTGAGCTTAAATATTTGTGATGTGGTTTAATTGCTCTGTTGCTGCACGCACCACGTTACGAAGGTTTTATTTCATAAAAGGCAAGCGGTGCCACCATGAGGCTGCCATGAATATCAGGTATAAGATGCTTACTCTACAGGGATAGTAATAAGAAACACCGTTTAATGGGGGGAAAAAGAAACAAATGAGTGAATGCTTACTGAATCCAATTCAGACCGTAATTTCTCTTAGAAAGAGCACATTTCTTTTAAATGGTTGCCATGATATTGTGTATATATAGTGTACATACAAACAGACTGTGTGGCAGTTTATCTGCATTAGTTGGTGCAAAAAAAAATCTAATATACTGAACCAAATATTTTACTTTAACCTTACATATTACCTGCTAAGTTAGTCATTTAAGTTGAGCTATGAATGTTTATAAAACACTTAAGTGTACATTAGGATCATGTAGTAGGTGCTTAAGCCTTATCAAAGTACAACTGCAAAACACATAAAATGGATGAGCAGAGTGACTATACCGCTGCGCATGGTGAATTCCTCCACCACAGTTAAAATAAGCACTGTCACCATTCATGCATAACAGTATCGGTTAGATTTGTATGATGCTCTATAAAAAAAATGCCCCAAAACTGTTCTAGGATTGTATTGCAAAGTAGGTTAGCAAAAAGTTTGATGTCTTTTCTGTCAAACTGGAAATATGACCTCTCTGTGAAATAGTGGTGAAGACACCCATGTGAGACATTGTGTGGTTTTTAACACTCATCAGTGTAGTACAGTATTCTTTTGAGAATATTTTCGGATCTGTATGGACACAAATGAAACTTAATTAGGTGCTCAATGTAGACTTATGTGAAGAGGTCCTGTTAAAGTACATCAAATGTAGGGTATGTGGTTGTGCAATATCCATCATCCCAAAACACCCAGTAATGTTCTAGCTGATTGAATGTCGTACCACTTTAATGACCGCACAATAAGGAAGTGTAATCATTTATTTTGTATTCCCACAGCTCTGACTGGTACAAATTAATGGATTAAAGAGAAAAACAAAGTAAATGATCTTTGCTGTAAATATTCCAGGTATCAAATGGTGTTACCGGCCATTGATGACACTCTAAACCGTTTCTGCAGGTTGATTAAAGCCATCGGGTCCAGATTTTCATCTCATTTTCTGGTTGTTGTGCCTGTTGCTCTGTATAAGCTGTGATATGTGTTTGCTTACTGGTGTATCAGGACTATGCAGCAACTTTTACTGGTGTTTACAATTGGCAGAGATCTCAACTTCACATGCAGTTGCTTTGTGTTCTCATCGGGTCTTTCCTAAGTTCCTGATTTGGATCAAAATCCATCAGAGGGTTTGTTTTAGCCAGTCAGACATGGCCTTAACAGAGTTGGGATTTAAATACAGGGTTTCATATATGGATGAAAAATGTAGGATGTCTAAAACAATTCTGTGATAATGTATGGCACCAGAAGAAATGTAACTTCAGCTACAAATTGTTGAAAGACAGTTAAGGATCAAATTATGAGCCTAAATCAGTTCTAAACCTGAGTTCTTAGGCCAATACAGGTTGCTGAATAGTCATATTTTTTTAAAGCTTGTTGTTGACTAAACTAAGATTTAAGCAAAGTTATGCTGTTTGTAATGTCATGGCTGTGCAAAAGTTAAGGGTTCTTAGGTGTTGTTAATGCATGTTTAATCGCTGAGTGATGAGACTAAAATGTTCACCTGACCGTAGACTTAAAAAAGAAAACATTCGAAAACATTCTTTTTTTTAAAAAATACCTAAATATTTAATATCTTTTTTTTTTTTTAAGATAATCCTTTGTAATACTTGATTTATCTACTTTGTACAGTACATCAGTGTAGAGACTGTAAATACGGTTGGTCAACATTATGGATGCAGCAACAATTAAAGAGGGGAAATTAAAAAGTATCACATAGAAGATATATTTCAACAGAGTTGAGTCCAACAGATGGATAAATGGTGCTCCTGAAGGCTTTCATCCACTCATCACTGTTTGTTGGCATTTAATAAATACATGTCATATTCTTTGTCTTCCTGTGTGCAGTTTAACTTATAGGTGAGATCCCTGATATATCTTGCTATAAGGAAGGTAAGTAAGAAAAAATATATATTTATATATGTGCTGATCCATGGATGATACCAAAAAGGCTCTGAAGACGCACTCTGTTCAGACATGATGCTTTGAGTCATCCGTTGGGTTTAGTATCTATTACATGCAGCTCATGAAAGGGGTGGCGACTCATCGTGCAGAGCCATATATAAGCCTCTGATTCCCCCGAGCAATGATGGCATTGGATACAGTCTGAAGGGCTTAACTGAGTTGGGAATTTGCTGCGACCTCCAACATGCCGTCCAAGCCTGCCCCGATCAAGAAGGCGGCCAAGAAAGAACCAGCCAAAAAGGAGGAAAAAGCTCCAGAGCCAGCCCCTGAGCCCGCCCCGGAGCCCGCTCCTGCAGAGCCTGCACCGGCTGAAGCCGCTCCGGCTGAAGGAGCGCCTGCTGAAGGAGAAGCGCCTGCTGAGGGCGCTGCCCCTGCAGAGGGTAATTTCCAGCGCCTCGTCACCTGGCTTACAACGATTAATGCAAGACACACCATCATTTATAAAATATATCCATGGATAAACCTGGGATTTGTTTTAATGATGTGAAAACGTGTTTGTGCAAATCAGATTAGTGCGCACCTTTACGCGCCTGTGAGAGTGGCTCTATGTTTCCTTCTGAGAAGTTCCAGCCTATAAGGAAAAAGAAGTGAATTAGTGAATTCCTTTCTCACCCCATGGAAATAAGCACCGTAATAGTGACATAAAAGTGAATCATTTTCACCTGACACTGCAGATAAAAACCAGTTTTAGTTTGGGACACCAATTAAGAAACCTTAAAGTAAAGTGCGACTAAAATCCGACATTATTTGGTTTACCCTTTTTAAGGATAAGAAGAAAAATAGTTTTATATGTATTGTAATATGTAGTTTCTTATATATAGTATCTTTACCCAGCTAATTCTGCTTCTACTAAAATTTACTGTTGATGCTTCTGTAAATCAATTATTTTTCTATTGATTGCTGAGGTGTTTTTTCCTTTTACATTTACAATCTCAATTTTAGTTTTAATACTGCTTGCTGACCAAAGGTTGTGACCTCCTTTTAAGGTAAAATACCCAATTTTCACCTAATTTCTGTATACTAACCACTTTAGTGTCTATAGAATGCCAAAATTGCCAACATATGGAATGAAATCAAATTACTGTTTTACACATTTTATTTTCAAAATGTAATGTGCTTTCATTTATTTAATGTAAATATATTGATAAAACATAATATAAATGTCTTAAATATATAGTAGTACCCACAGTTGTTTAGCAGTGGCTCACTAACTTTGAGAAGTATGACTTTCAGATTAAATTATTTCACGATATGCTGCTACAGGCTGCTGTGAAATAATAATGTATGCAGTGAATCAAACTATATATTTTTTACTTATACATTTTCTGATTATGATCTAAAACACGGTGAATTTATTTCAATCTCAACAAGTTTTTATTATTTTTTATTCTGGTTCTATTGGTTCTCCATATAAGTCAGCCGCTGCATCTGCTACTTCAGAATCCTCAGCTGCTGCTTCTGCTGCAGCTGCAGTTTTCGCCAAAAGTATAACAACAACAAGTGGAGCATCTAATCTTAAACTGTCCTACTTTAACAGGAAAGCTATTTTCTCTGTTAGGCGTCTGTTTTAATCTACAACATCACCAACTATTCATGCAGAAGGGGGAAAAAAATATATATTACTATCGCCTTCACTAATGGTAAAATACAAACCAATACAGAAACAGTGTAAGCCTTTATTATTATCTTAGTGAAGCTAAGTCTAGGGCTTGGTCTCTTATGATGATTTTTCAACTCAACCGTTGCTTGAATTATTTGTAAAAAAAAAAAAAAAAAAAGTCTGCTTTAAGCACTAATTATTGATATCTAACATTTAATAATATTTGCTGATGCTCCTGCTCCAGGGTCTGAGGCAGCTGTTAATAGTGAACCACCCAGGAAAAGTCCTTCTATACATTCATAGGGATATACATTTATAAAATGCCTGTATTAAAATAAAACCTTTAATAATTTTACAAACAATAATACAGCTGTCTTTTCAATATTAGGAGAGGCTCCTGCTGAGGCACCTGCACCAGAAGAGCCTAAACCACCCACTCCTCCACCTCCTCCACCCAAAGGTAAGGTTTTTTTCTGGGAGAAAAAAAAGACAGAAATCAAACGTTTTTCAGCTAAATAATTAACATTTTACTGGTTATTTCCAGAGCCTACAAGCGCTCCTGTGGATCTGTTTATTGAAGACAAAAATGACACTTCGGTGACCATTATTTGGAGCCAGCCTGAGACCGTCGGGCCCTGTGGTCTAGACGGATATGTCATTGAAGTTTGCAAGGATGGAAGTAAGTCCTTTGCTCCTTTCAAGTGCATGCACTGAAAAGACTGACCTTAGAAATGTTTTTATGAGCTGTTCAGTAGACAGCTGTTTTTTACATTTACTAGTATATTTATGTCTCAGTTTTCAACACAATGACTAACGCTCTTTTAGATCCATTGAGGAAAATGTGACATTGGTTTTTTATTATGGGTCAGCCGTATCAGTTACAGCTGTCCCTGAAGTGTCCGTCTTAGAGTTATATCATTAGCTACCTAACTTCTCCCTAGAAGGGAAGAAGCATTTCAGGGCTGGTGTGTTCCTGTTAAAGGTCCTGCTTTTAGACTAACAGTGGTTGAGTGAGCGTTTCATTTAGCAAATACAGACAATTCAGTGCTAAATGCACAAATTGTCAAATGCACCATTATTTCCATTACAAAACTTTATCATTTTTGGTATTTTATTTGGCATTATACATAAGACTATATAACATTTATGTGTGACTCATTATGGAGTGCAAAATAACTTACTTTTGCGCCAAGAAAAGTGAATCCCTGCTTAGCATAAGTTTGGTATTGTTGTATATGTTTTGGGTTGTCTTTACGTCTAATAACAGCCTGCATGGTTAGATCAAATCAAGATAAATGGATGTGAAACTGAAGAAATAAACAGATGGTGGACCAAAAACTATTGACTTGAATTGGTTTTTACAACTGGAAAATAATACTATAAATAAAAAATAGTCAAATAATAGATTTGTTAAAAAAATGCAAAGTCCACTGATTTCTATTGATTTTTACACAGTATTGTAAAAGTTTGTAAAAGAAGAAAGCCTCATTACAAGATTGGTTATTCTGGTCAAATGTAGGACTTGTGCAGATTTACCTTTTGACTTTTTGTTCATGCAAAAAAAAAAAAAAAAAAAAAATCAACATTGCATTATTTCAATTTCCGACATGCATGAGAATCTTATCTCGCGATAACATTGTCAAAAATTTTACTTCTCTTTATTAGAAAAACAAGTAGCTAATGTATATAGTTAAGCAATCAGAAGGGTTATTTGTAAAATAAATGTCAATAAAATAATTTTAATAAAGATAAATAACAGTGTTATTTGAGGAAATAAATCAGTTTTAATACAATATTATAGAAGACATTTCAGCTGCTTGGCAGAGCAATCAGAATCATTGCCAAGTTTCTGTTTATGACCTCAAGAATAAATTAATCCAATAACATACCATTGAGAAAGCTCTTGTATCCATAGAAACTTTTTTTCCACATTGGTCTGCATTTACTGAATAAATGCTTGTGTTTTTGTGCAATACTATCACAGCGCTGTAGACTTTACGCTTTAACATTATCTTTATTCAGCTGAAGATTGGAAAGCTGTTAATGAAGACCTGCAGAAGTCCAGTCGCTATGTAATCAAGAACCAGACCACTGGTGACCGCCTGAAGATCCGGGTGGTAGCTGTGAACGAAGGAGGCCGCAGCCCCCCTGTCACCCTCCCTGAGCCCGTACTGGTGAAGGAGGTTGCTGGTAAGAAATGTTTGGTGTTAGATTAAGCTGAAAACATTTTGGTCACATTTTATTTACAATTTGCAATCCTATAATAAACTATGTCTGGGAAGATGTTAGAGTGAAAGTAGATACAAGAACAAATACCATCAGATAAATACAAAAGACACGAGTTTAACAAAATCTTGCTAATGTATAAGCACTATTTACATGTTTTAGCTTTTTTAATCTTGTTTTTAAATACAAAAGGAATGTCTCTTATTTGTTAATTAGGCTAAAACTAAATTGGGACAAATCTAATATCGATGTGGCCTAAATGGTTTACAGCCATAAATTATAAGTAGGAGAAACTCAGAAATGATTTCTTCTCAGCTTTCCTGGTCCGTTGAAACATACCTGCAACATGAAGGGATACAACTTTGTACCAGTAACTCCTTCCCACTTTGAGCTGAAACACCTATCCTTCCCGCTGCAGCATGTGATAAGTTGGTGGTTACCCTGACCCTGTACATCTGACGTTGTTAATCTGTAGCAATTTACTTGGTAAATGCTGATTAGACCCTGAGGATTTAAAAAGGATGAGCTGTGGCACTTTGGTTATCTTTCAGATTGGTGTTATGCTTAAAGAAGTGGAAGCAAAGTGGGTGGAATGGCAACATGATCCCAGCTCAGCTGGCGCTGGTCTCCACGATGCATATTCACCATACCAGATGGTCCTCAATTAGCAACAATTTACTGAATAGTCTCTGGCAGATTTGCTGCAAATGTTTGGAAAATAGCTGTGATATACCTGCTGGTAACAAATAGTTTTCTCTGGGAGTTTGGAGTGAGTAGGGATCTTTGCCAGGACTCATGCTGAGGGAAGGGTCAGACTAATTTCTGCTAGATAGATGGTGTCAATCGGTCTGACTTAAAGTAGGGTTGGGCTATGAAGAGAAGAGGGGAGGGGGTAGTGAATTCCAGTGGGCCCCATCTCCAAGAAAGGGGGTGTTGGCTCTGACTTCTCAAATTGCACCCAAATCTCATGGAAGCTCCTGCAATTAACTGTTTATCTTGCAACATACTAAAGACTTTGCAAGGGGAATACTCATTAAGCATGATCCGTATCTGAAGTTTATTCTAACTTTACTGAGAAACTACAATATGTATATATTTATTTTTAATAAATCTTTTTTTTTTGTAAAGTATAGACATTGATAGCATTCCCCTGTTCTCTTATAGTTTTTTGTTATGATTTTTTAAAAATAATTCATTGAAGATTTTAATCTTTCTTATGTAACTTTATCTCCAAATTTGATGTGAAGGAGGGAGCTGACATGGTGAGTGCTACAGTATCCCTTCTTTATTTAGAGTCCTGACAAATGTTGCTGTGCTTCACTCAGCAGGTGGTGACCTGCAGGAATATACTTCCAAGTGCCTTAACAGGGGCTTTGGTGTCACGTCAGAAATCAGAGCAGAACACAACCAATTTATATATATTTAAGGTATCATGAGCTAACTTTAACCTTTCGGAAAATAAGGCTTTGTAGAGAGAATAATGGAATTATGGAGTAGATTACATATTCTGTCTGGTTACCGCTCTTATCTCACCATCTTTAGCTGAGTTGTTTAAATGTACATTATGAGTTTGTTTTTTTTTCCATTACAGCTTCACTAGTTTTAGTTTTCCTGTAACTCTTTATGAACAAATGCTGTTTAAAGAGCAGGGATTAAAGTGGCTTTTTAATGAGATGCCAAGCTAGTCCCTTAAAATCTGAAAATGCTAGGCAACACTGGATCATAAGTTGGGCAAAGAGATCTTCTCTGTACAATGTCACATTATTGATAAATAAATAATTCACCACATAATCGTAAAGTAAAACACTAAAAAAAAGCAAAATCAAGCCAAATTCTCCTGTCAGATTTTTTTTTTTACTTATTGCTGTTGAGTGTCATAGTGTGCAGCACACTACTATCAGACACTTTTGGAGACATACTGTACGCTAAGTGTTTGGCCTAAGACGTGTTATTTAAAAGTTAATTTTACCAAAAAGTTCTAAAAATAAATGTAATCTTATGAGCAAGAAAAAGGCAATAAAACATTTTCTAAAAACTGCTCTTATTATTCTGCCATTAAGACAATGGCAGAATAAAACTCATTTATTAACCTTTAATGAGACCAAGTAGAAGATATTTGGTCTAATTGTATGACAGGGCGGAAAAATGTTTTGAATACAGGCTATCTACCATAGTTTAAACTACTCAGAAAAATAAAACCATGGTAACAAATATTCATTTAGAAAAATGGAAATAATTAAACTAAATAATTAAACTTTTTAGTATCCTAAAAAAATTATGTGTTAAGAGAAAAACCTTGCATTCAGCAGGCTGGTCACTGTGTTCTGCTCATTAGATTTGCCTACTTACTGCATGTAAACTGGCTTAAAATTAGCTTTGCAGATATAAACTCTGTGACTTTTTAATATTATTTGTGCGTAATGGAACTTTTTAAATTAACTTTTTTGTTCAGATTTTGTTGGTTTCATGTTCTGTTTGCTGAGCAAACTCCTGAGATAAAAAAAGGCTGCATTTAAACTTTATAAAAGCAGATATTTAAAATAAGCAAGATATAAATAAACTCTGCATTTGGATAACTTTTAAAAAACTTTACTGTTACTGTTATATTACATTTATTTCTACAGATCGTCCTAAGGTCCGCTTGCCTCGGTTCCTCAGGCAGAGATACGTCGCTCAAGTTGGGGAAAAGATCAACCTGACCATCCCTTTCTCTGTAAACACTATATCAAAATGGATCTCACCACACTTAATAAAAGATACAATATTGCTGATGTTATTTATTTACTTTTTCAGGGCAAACCCAAACCTGTGGTGTCTTGGACAAAGAACGGCGAGCCCCTGGACAAAAAGAGAGTGAACATCCGCAGCACGGAAAGAGACAGCATCCTGTTCATCCGTGCATCTGAGAGAGACGACTCTGGAGTGTATGAGATGTGTGTGAAGGTGGATGACTTTGAAGACAAGGCCTCGTTGATCCTTCAGATTGTTGGTGAGTTAAATCAACACAAAAGGGTGTCAAGGATTAACATGCTACAGTCTGACTATGAATTTATGAATGATGACCCACAGAGCTGCCAGGACCTCCTGCCAGTGTGAAAATCGTGGATACCTGGGGCTTCAATGTTGCTCTAGAGTGGACTCCACCCAAAGACAATGGAAACACTGAGATCACAGGATATACAATCCAGAAGGCTGACAAAAAGACAGGAGTAAGTTCTCCACATCAGTGCTTACTAGTCTTAATAGTCTGCAAAGGGTTTAAATCATTTACAAAAAAATATCAGAAAATTGTTAGATGCTTTGGATCTAAATGTCCCCTGAGAATAATCAAGCTTTTCCCATAATTAGCTGTAAGTCTTAAGGGTTTATGTCTGTAGAAATGTTCTTCTTACATATTTCTTTCACTATTGCTATCACATGTAATCACACAATATATCAACTCCTAATAAATTCCTTTTGCAGGCAAAAGAAAGCATCTCTCCACCATATTGCTACTATAGCAAAAGTTCTTTGTGAAGTCGATGTATTCAGGGTTCACTGTTATAAACCACATTTCATTTTAAATTCTAAGTACTTTCTTCTCTTTTTATGGTTTTTACTGTAAGACTCATAGGAAAATGCATATGGTTCTTCTGATTGTTTGCTTTAATAATGGTTTTGCTAATGTCAGATATTATGTAATAGTCAGTCATTCTCTCACATGAGCAAAGAAAGGATGGAAGATTTGTATCGTATCCGTACCAAACCTTTTTCATTTTTTTCAATTAGATTTTTAAAGCTTTCAAGATTTCATAACCTAGTCTTACTTTAAATTTCTCAATAACTGTATCATACCATAACAAACCTCTGAGAAAACCTCTATATTTAACCTGAAATTAAATGTAATATAGAGTGTTTGTAGGCTGCACTTATTAAGGAAGCCTAGGTTCCTCAGTGTTTGCAGGAAGATGCTGCATGCCGTCTATGAGTCTGTTATGGAGAGTGAGATCTCTTGCCACCATTTCTTTGGAGAGGAACATCAGAACCAGGAACTTATAAAAAAAAGTGTCAACAGCCTCATAAGGAAATCTGATTCTAGTCTTGGGACTAGTCTAAAACCTTGAGTATCCTTTTCAAGAAGACTCTTAAACAGAGTGTCTTAAGTCAGAGGCTTCTATGGATGTGCTGTGAGAAGATGCACTGCTGGAGATCTTTCCTATTCCCAGGCATCACTATATCCAACCTCTGTTTGAAGAAACCTGGTAGATAAAGGGTTAAAAAATACCTATATAATATCCTTTCTGAATGTTTTTTAAGCTTAAATTTCTTAAACTGAATTTACTAATTAGGTGAATTCTAAAGGCATTTAGCCTTGCTGAATTTTATTTGGTGGTTATTTAGGTCAGAGAGCTAAAAACCAATCCATAGAAGTTGGTATCCATTTTGATTGCTTTGTACTTTGGTTTTCCAGGACTGGTTCACTGTTCTGGAACATTACCACAGACTGAATGCAACCATATCTGACCTCATCATGGGAAACACTTACAAGTTCAGAGTATTTTCTGAGAACAAGTGTGGAATAAGCGAGTCTGCTGCTGTTACAAAGGAAGAGGCTAAGATCATGAAGACAGGTAACACTTTGTGTTCTGCTGTAGGCGCTTCTGCTTTGCATATGTAAAATGTATGCATGTTTGTTTATTAGTGAAAAGGCCATAATTTTGACCATTTGAGACTCATTATGTTGTTATTTTTCAAAAATAAAAAGATTTCAGAATAAATGCTGAAGAAACTAAGTATTAACGAACAAAGATCAGCAGAATATTGAAAGAATTTATGCTGCAAGGAAACAGTTGGATAGGTTGAAAACATCAGTAAGTGATAAATAGTCTCAGTAGGACCATTTTGCTCTATAAACAATGGGACTATTTGCTATTAAATAAGATTTTTAACTGTGGCTGCAACACTGAGTTCAAGTTGTGACTTTTTTTTTGTCAGTTATTATCATTAAACCTTTATGCTAAAAAAGACACTACCCCATGCAGATAGTTGATTTGTTAAGAGACACACCTTTCTGGTAAACAACGAAATAATAAGGCTTTTTTTTCCTATATCATCCCAATTTAAAAGCACTGTTGTTTTTAACTGTTTTTGATTTTTACAATGTAACAGGCTCACTCCTGTCTGCTTGTTTTATTTTACAAACGATGCATATCTTACATATATTTGTTTTCTATACTACCTTAAAGTCATCTTGACTTTAGGACCTTTCACAGAATTATTTTCACTGATTTAATTCATAAACAGTGTCTAAACAGTGTATAAGCCAGAGACAGAATCTTATTCTCAGATGTAAAATTCTATGAAAATTGTAAAATGGTATATATTGCTTAAGTAGGGATTTGAAACTTAAATTGCATATACCCCAATATAAGGAAGGTTATATACCCCAATGCAACCCCCCGCCATAAAATGACCAGTTAGGAAGCTTGTCCTGCAATCTGAGGGTCACCACATAGAAACCCAGCTCTCTCCATCTTAGTCATTGTGTCCTTGGATAAGACTCTTCACTCATACTGCCTACTAATAGTGATCAAGGACCCTGTGACACTTGTTTGCAGCAGCCTGGAGTCTGTCAGTGTGCCCCAGGGCAGCGGTGGCTACACTGTAGCTTACCACCCCCTGAATCGGTGAATAACTAAATATAGGGCAAACCTTTTTGGAGTCCTCTAACTTAACAGGTGCTATATAAGTGCAGGTCATAGTTTTTAATGACGTATATGTTTTTAGCATCTGACAATTGCATTGATTTTTTTTTATTTGTTTTTAAATACAGTGTGTTGGGGATGTCCTGATCCGGTATTAATATCAGTCCGATATTAATATTGGATTTTATTGGACAGCATATTAAATCTCCAATATTTTAATCCTGATAGGAACACCATATTTCTGTTAAACTTTCTGTTTCTGATCAGATAATTTTAGATGGGTCAGTTGCGTTCATACACTTTGTTGTTGACTTACGTTCTCTGATTTAGTAATATTACTTGATCAAATCTTTCCTAACATTCTACACAATAAAATAAGTAATAAAAGCTGGTATGATTCATACTAATATCATATTGGATCATTATTGCTATTGGCCAATTCTCAAAGCTGAAATATTGGCATTGTAGCGAAAATGAAAAAGTTGTACCGGGACACCCCTACAGTGTGTTGTGCAAATGACCCAGTTTCACAAATAATGAAAAAAAAAGTTTGAAATGAGATGCAGGCTGTTTAAATGGGGAATAGATTCTTTGTTGATAATCATTAATATTGACAAACATTAAAAATATACATATTTTGTTGCTTTTTAGGCAGAAAGAACAAAAGAAAAAAAACAGAAAAAAGCTTGTTTTCCTGCATTAGTGCCTCATAGGGCAGATATTAGGCTGAGGTTATAAAGACTATAGCTAATATTTAATACCCTCTTTCCTTACCATAAATACGGTTTTTAATAGATTTGTGTGTCTTATTAGCGAAACAATATTTTAACATGTTTTGTTTGTGGGAAGTTTTGGGAAAACTTTTGGGAAAAATACAATACATATAAAACATGAGCAGAGTTTCTCATTATTGATAGATACCACTCTGATCTGGACTGGTTTTCTATGTTTGTATCTAGACACCTTGACACCATCAATTTAAAGTTAATCCTTAACGTATATTTTCCTTTCTTTAGGTATTGACTACAAGCCGCCTGAGTATAAGGAGCATGACTTCAGTGAAGCACCTAAGTTCACCACCTCTCTGACTGACAGGGCCACCACTGTTGGCTACAACACCAAATTGCTATGCTCCGTCAGGGGATTCCCTAAGGTACCCTTACAATGGAGTAGTTCATGTTTGAAAATATATGTAATCAGCAATGGAATGAGGATGATGAAGGGAATTATGTTAGAAAACACCAGCAAAGAGGGAATTCTGTATTTTTAAGGTAAGGTAACAGGAGAGCTTCAGGTTTATTTTGTTTAGAAATTTTGCATTTAGGTGAAAAAAGTGTTTAGAACTAAAATACTTTTAAGATTACTTCATAACACTGATATAAAAACAGTACCGTTTTGTGTTTTTTTCTATATATCAATAGAATTTGTATATAAAGGCTTTTTTTCAATGTTTTAGATCCCAAAGTAATGAGAGTATATTGGTTATATGCTGTTTACCTGTGGTATAATATATCCATAAAAGATGAAGAAGATTTTCAAGCTTCTTTTGTCTGCTGTAAAAAAAAAAAGTTAGAAAGAAATTAGGTGAAGATTACTTTAAAAATCGGCTATTTCTTCATCAGGCGCCTTACTGTGAAGGGGATGTTTTTAATACACAAAAAGTAATTAAGTCAGTTAGAATTTAATTCCTTAAACATCAGGGGTGCAAACCTCATAGATATAAATTTTGGCTACTTGTCAGTATCAGCACATCCCCCCCATTGCTCTTGCATTGCTGTCAGTGCTCAGGCTTTGGCCTAACAATGTGGAAGATATTCACCTGCCTTCATTAGCTTGCCGTCTGAGCCTCTCACCCTCTCTTTTGGCTTATAATCAGCTGGGTCTCAACAGGGTGAAATGTCAACAGAATTCTTTTTTGAGGCATTGGAAGAGGAGAAGCAGGTGGATAGGGAAGCTTGGTTAGATGTTTAACATTCTGTTTGGGGCCCAGGGAGGTTCTCACCATATCGTTGTCATTAAACGTCCCATACCACGAGTGTACTGTGTGTCTTCCTTAATCAAAGCTTTTTTTTACTGTCTTGTCATGTATCTGAGGCCTTCAAATAGCATGCTAATTGTTTGCTGGTGTTGTGATGTGACATTGTGTTAAAAGCCCAAGATTGAATGGATGAAGAACCAGATGGTTATCGGAGATGACCCCAAGTTCAGGCAGATCTGCGTCCAAGGAATCTGTTCTCTGGAGATCCGGAAGCCTGGAAACTTTGACGGTGGTGTGTACTCCTGCAGAGCCAAGAATGATCACGGAGAGGCAGTAGTCAGCTGCAAGCTGGACGTGAAACGTAAGTCAAGATTTTAAACTTTTACCATTTCTTTGAATTCATGATAGGTTGAACATGTTCTGTGTTTAGAAAATGGATATTGCCGGTTGCTAAGCAGTGCGTCTAACATAAACCTTCTGTTAAACAGAACCAATCAATCCAGATGCAGAGAAGAAGTAAATGGACGTCTGCACAAACAGGTGAGAAAATCATATGAAAATACTTGATGTGTTTTCACTTCATTTTTATACTCGTTTATGGAAATTATTCCAAAATAGGTTGCTGCATTTATACTTTAATCTTTATCAATCATATTCCATGCAAATGAAACACTCAAACTCCATGTTGTTCAAGTGGGATATATAAGGACTAATTTAACTCCAGCTTCCTCTGTGACATAAATGGAAAAGGCTGTCCATATATGGAGGTCACTAAACTTGGCCTCTGCCACTGAGAGGGTCTAAGCAGAAGCACTCATAAATTAGATCTATGATGGCTCCTGCTACACTCAGTCTGGTGACTTAATCACATTTCCTTGACTCAGCAGGCGTGTCTTTCAGTACATACAGTAATTTAACGTATAAGGTATTCTCTTAGTACTATCAAAAGAAATATTTTTGGGGCCTTTGCACGTGTAAAAGTGTTTTAAAAGCTAACATTTGTGTTAAAGTATCTACATATACTTGTAACTGTTGGAAAAATCCCAACATTACTAAACAGCAGCTTTTTTTTTCATTGTTACAATTCTAAAATAAGGAGCAGAAGGTCTTTGCAGTTTAAGGTGTGTGTCACTTTAAGTGTTTCTAAAGCAGCTGTCCACATCAATAAAACAGATGGTAAATTCCAAACTATTTTTCTGTCATCACAGGATTGGTTGGATACTGGAAAGACAGCATCTACAGCTGGTGATTCTACTACCAATGGATTTAAACCTTTGACGTCTTATGGAGTTTAAACATCTATTAAGATGAACAGTGTTTGTCATCGTTTTATGCCTAGAACTACAAGTCCAGATCCAAATCCATGACATTTCCCCCACATATTCTCTCAGTAATAATCATTACATTATGACACTTTCAAACGTTGTTTTACTTTAACAACTTGTCAGTTCTACTTAAATTAATTTACTGTTCCTCATAGGAGAACTACATGTAACATCTGTGTTTATGTCAATAAATAATTTAATTTCTGGTTTTGTTTTTTATATTACAGCAAAAATTGTGTGTCTTCTTAGTCAATTCAACTAATACATCTGTTAAGCAGGAACTCCACTGGCTGATGAATAAACCTGTTTGAAGGCAATTATGCATGCAGCTGGCATGTACTGCATCGTTTGTTAACAAGGTGATTTGAACTTGAGACAGGCGAAAAAATATATTGCGATAATAAAATGAAATACATGCCTTACTACCTTAAATGTTAAGATTAATGGAAATGTGAAAATAGAAGATACAAGTTAATAATAAATAGATTTCATTAACCTATCATGGCATAAGAGTTAAAAAAAAGTATATTACTCTTTAATTTGGGCTAATGTGAGCATGCAGATATCAGATAAAATCTGTTATGTCCCTTTAATGAAGGTGCTTTGATGAAAACCACATGCAGTCGTTTACTTAGCATTATAACTGCCAAATGAACTGCACTTTAAAGTTTTAACCCATTTTCCATTGTGTCAGGGAATCCTGTTGACTTCTACAGCCTGTTAAGGCTTCTTGTGCAACTGTTAAACTGTTGAATTATCTGATGTGTAACTGATAAAAAAAAATCCTGTTTTTAAAACAGCTGAAATTCTGCTGTTGTGAGAATATAAAACCAAGCAGATTGTATTGAAGAAAGTTTCTTTTAGGGAAAAACCCAAGGAGATATCTTTGCCAACATTTTTATGCAAGAGATTTACATTTTTGTTCTTGTAATTTTGCTGGTTATGGCTTGCAGATAGTGAAACCCAATAAAGCGATGAATCAAATTATTAGAATATTGTCAAAAAGTTAAATACCTAGAAGTTTGATAAGGAAAAAGTGAGTTAGCAAAAGGTGCTTTAGCAACACGGTTACCGCAGGCTTGAGAGGATGGATTTCTGATTAAGGAAATGAAGGTATGATAGATGTGCTCCCTGTACTTCAATTGTTCAGCATAGATGAAGTCCTTTATTGTTATACTTGTTGGTGTAATGTAGCACTTTATTGCATATAGAGTTTATTTGACTTCTAAGAACAGTGGACCATCACTGTTGATTTCTCCCACATCATGGTATATGTATAATTATGCGTAAACGGGTGTTTTGTACCATTTAAGACTTCTTGGGAAAGAAAGAAAAAGTTAGACGTCTGCATCTCTGGATTTCTGAACATTGTATCAAATCAGTAAGTTTGTATAAAGGAAGTGTATTTATGCAATGTAAGTGCAAAATGTTTACGATCTAGCATTTTCTGTGACATTGATTTTTGGAAGTTTCATTATGTGCAAGCCAAAATCATCAAAACTGCAAAAAAATAAAGTCTTGAAATATTTCACTGTGTTATTAATTTAAATAATTATGACTTGTATAAGAATAAGAAAAAAACAAAAACTTTTCATTGTGCTTTAAAATTTTTGAGCTGTAATTTTATTTGTCAAAGAATATAGTAGAATGAAAGTATTTCAAAGACATTTAGTATGCATTAAATGCCAGATTTACTTAAGAAAAATGTTAAATAAAGAAATGCTTTTTTAATCAAATTTAACTTTTATTATTTAAAAGCTAACATTTACTGACATAATTTTAGTGGCAGAAAACCAGGAGGTTCCTCTATTACTGACTGGTTCAAATATTATTCTCTAAACATCCTTATGTACATATTTGGCTGATTTCTTATTCAGTATGCTAGGAATACTACAATAATAATGTCAAACCAAAGTACTGATCTTGTAACTATTTCATGTATGAGTTGCTTGCATAGTGATAGGGCTTGGATGCCATAGATATCGAGGTTACAGAAACACTAGCGTTCACCCAGAGGCTTGACAAAATTAGTCCTGCTGCTCCATCTTGTTGAGGTTATTTTTGGACCAAGTAGCTCAGCTGCTGAAATGAACTTCTGCGCCTTAAGTTACTGTATTTAAGTTGGTGGGGAAACTACAAATAAAGAATAAAAATTGAACAGGCAATTACTGTACAAGGATAATTCTATCTCATCTTACTAAATATTTTTCCCCCATCTGATTTCAGTTAATAACTAAAACAAAATGCTCTTCTACTCACACATATTTTATTTCAAATATTGTAGTAAAGTAAAGGTCCACCCTGCTAGACAACCTGGTACAGTGTAGTAAATGCAAAAGTGAATTTAAATAGAAGTTCTAAAAAAAAGGCTTCTTTGAACCTGGCGTCCTCTGGTGGTCAAATTATGTAATGACATTAGAAAAACCTGCATTAAAAGACTTAACTTGGTTTGCCAGTTAACTGTATGTTATTAAATATATAACTGAAAAATGTAGTCATAAATGATCACAAAATTTATACAGCATAAGCATTTAAATTGTTCTTAGTTCTTAGCTTTGCTATTTCCCTTTTATAATGTTATCTTTTGATGTATTTTGTATAGTTTGAGTAGTGTACCTTTAACCTTTAGGCTATGATCCATATTGGGTCTTGGGCCTATTTCTGATGAGTCCCTGGATGCTGACATGCTCCAACAGGGTCACAGAAAAAAAGATTACTTCTGCTAATTAAGGTCTCGCACATTAAAAAGGCTTAGAAAAATTAAGGCAATTTGTTAACATACACAATTTTAGAATTAAAAATACATTTAACGCACCAAACTTTAGAAATTAGATGAGATATTTATATATTTGTATTAGGAAAATAAATAAATACAAAAAATTTGATTGATAATAATATATTAAAGTAAAACAGTGAATGTGTATACCTTCTGGAGGAGGGGATAACCTCCCTGTGAGCAGCTTAATAACAAAAGCGAAGCAGCACATTTGAAAAAGATCAGAATCTAGATTTTCTAACCTCAATCTACTTTTTCACAACACTGTAAATTATAGATAAACATAAAATGCTTTGATCTGGTGGGCACGTAGAACACATTTTTCCTATGACTTCTATTTTAATGCTGGACACGTATTCCAGTTATGTTGAAGCAAGCCTCATACAGGCAAAATTATGAATCACGGATGGAACAATGTCTTTGTGTAAACCCTTTACAATGAAGTTTCAGTACTACACATAATAATGATAATTAAGATGAGAATCATCGTGATAATAAATGGATCAAAACAACTTTCATTATGCAAGTGATTGTCCCTTTGTCTCAGTGTATCTCTTGTATGTATATTTTCATAAACCTGAGATCCAGAAGAGTGCAGACTTTTTAGGAATTTCCTTATAAGACCAAAAATGTTTTATTATAAGTGTTCATTTTGTACAGTTTAAAATCATTCAAATTAATTAAGCACAGAAGAAACATGTACTAAACTCTTTAGCTGTCTCTGTGACACTATCTTTAGTAATGTTGTTACTTGCATATTCCATTCCTGGGTGTGTTTTGACTGCATTTAAATGTCACTTTAACATGCACTTAATAATAAGGAGAAATAAATGGGAGAGCAGATTTTAAATTAACTGATATCTCAGGACCAGTCTTTTTGTTTACATGCTATTTTTTCAGAAGATTACTATGATGAAAACATTGTTTAAATAAGCACAAAACAACATCACTCCTCACCCTGCTTGCAATTAAACATGGTGGTGGGTGTATGTTAATGTGATGGTGCGTTCCTCCAGCAAAAATAGGAAATTTGAGTTTAAAAAGTGGATAGAAGTAAATAAAAGTTTAGGGGGACGTTCACCTTTCATTAATTCAGCCACCATAGATATACAGCCAGAGCTACAACACAAAGGTTTAGATCAGTTTTTTCAATCCTGGTCTTTAGGACCCACTACAATGCATGCTTTAAATGGTTACAACTGACTTAAATTAATGAGTGACAAACAGACCTCTGCAGCACTGTATTGCTGCTGGAAAAGTAATACAATTTCCTCCAGGTTTGCTGGATCAGAGACCCATCTAACATGCTGGACAGTGATCCTGAGCAGCTGGACTCAAGACCCCAGATTTAGATAAAAGCAATTGGTTTGAAAAGAATTATGCCATGTTCTGCTGTTGGGGACTGAAGTGCAAACAAGACATTGGCAGATGCATAGTGGATGGATATATTTTAATGAACCACTACTTATAGGAAGTGAACAAAGAAAAATGGTGAGTGCAATAATCAGAAACAAAAAACAAGAGAAGTCCATGACAGGTAGTCACTAAATAATATTGAATACAACTAATTGGAGCCCCTAGCTCATGTTCCTTCAACCTTCTTGGGGTCAACAGCAAGAAGTCTATACTGTTCTTAATTCAGACAGCCATTAAGCCACTGCAATGCATGCTGCAGAAATGCACATGGATGATGCTTCTAAAATCAAGACTACAGCTACTCAGAAAAGAACGACAAAAAACTAAACTGACTCAAATGTAGTGAATAACTGCAGCTTTTGGTTAGAAAAAAAAACAAAAAACATGAGCAAGTGTTTATAGTCTCATATTTTCCACCCAGTTAAATCTCTGAGGTGGTCTGTTTTTAGGATTGTGGAATTCCTTATACAGTAGCTCTTAATCAACAGATCCCTTTGCTAAATCAACTTTGATGGGAAACATATATATTCCTTTTCCTTCCTCCTTTCATACTGCTAGCACTATTTAAACAGCACATATCATGGCAACCACTGAGGCACCTCATCAATTAGCATCAATCAGTTCAACCCAAAGTCTAGACCAAAATCCTGCTGACCATCTGTTGCAAGACGGATGTTTGCCTCCTAGTTTGACTTTGTTTGAGCTAATTAGCAAAGACTAAGCTGATACAAATGCCACAAAATGGTTGCAGCTGAACTGCTAATGAAAGGGGGCCAGTACAATTATTGGAAACCATATATGCTTAATGTTTATCCTAAATATCATGTATTGCATCTCCTTGATCTTAACTCATACATTTTAGCTTAATAAATGGACTATGCACAATTTATGTGCTCACATCAACACAACATATTAAACAACAAAATAATGAACACCTGAAAATGACATAGACCCAACTAAAAAGGAATGCCTCTTGCAAACACATGGACTTTCTTGTAGTTTATGTTTGTAATTCAACAATATTTTC